CACTCACAAAATGTGATGGAATGGTGTGTAATCTTTTTTCCTTTATTTCATGCTCTTTTCCACAGGCACATTCATACCTCTTGTCTGAAACTTTTCTTGAGTATTAAAGATGTTGAGCCTACTGCCGATCTCATCAACATTAAAGTATCAGCGTGACTATGTTACCAACAAAGCGTGGAATGATGGGCGGTGCTCTAGACTGGAGACTTATCTCAGAGAACCAAGATGTTCTGATGTCAGTTGGTTATTGAAGTGTGGTTTGAATGTTCAGCCAGACGGTGCTCACCAGTAGGGTGCAAGCAACATACAATCCTTGCTAACCCTAGTGGAACCGTAATTGACGACATCACATCGCTGACATTTTCCAATGGTTGCATCTCGGGCAGCTCACCGCCATTTCGCACAATTATTCCCATCTCAGTAGGTCCCTCTTTATACTCACACATACACACACACACAACAAAAGAACCCAGGCTATGACTGTGGCCCTGGGTCTAGTTCCTCATTCAGCCATCTCAACTAAAGCTAGTCAGACGTTGTTCAACTCTAACATGAAGTTGGACTCAAACTTGCTCTGAGAAGTCATGAGTTCCAGTGGACAGTAGGTCTGTCCTAGTTGTTGAGATTTGAGTGGATGTACTCACAGCAAGTCCAGCTTCAGCAAGCAGTTCTCGAGAATACACCACAGCACCAAAGAAAATTTAGTCAATCCTTGATCAGTGCAACAGGTACAACAAGATTACTTGGTGGTGTTGTTTTTATGAAATTACCACGTTTTTTTTTCCTTTTGAGCCACTGGTCTTGTTGCTAGGGCTTTCAGCTACATGTAAATCATCAAATTAGTTCCCCCCCCACTGTAATACCCATAAATTTTCTTCCATACCATTACCGGTACCTTGCAGAGAATTTTTGCCGTCCCTCACATGTTCATTGAAAACAGTCACATGTTCATTGAAAACAGTCACATGTTCATTGAAAACAGTCACATGTTCATTGAAAACAGTCATATGTTCATTGAAAACAGTCACATGTTCATTGAAAACAGTCACATGTTCATTGAAAACAGTCACATGTTCGATTGATGTGTGTGCATAGTATTCATATTTGGGTCGTTCTATAAATTCAGGATACAAAAACGTGAGTTTTTTGTCGCTAAGGTGTCATTGAAATTGACGTCTTTTTAAAAATTTGTTCAGCAGTTGTTTGCATCGTTTCATCGCTCTTGGAAATTGAAGAATGTGATTTCAACTTCCAAATCATACTTATACATGTACATGTATGTGCGTCAGACGTAATAGGGACACGGAAGACAATTTACCTTGAATTTACAGAAAGACCAGTTTGTCAACGTCGGGCAAAGTTTGTGTAATTCAACATTGAGCGATGTTTGAGTCACTTGCAGGAATCTTCAGTTTGACGTGTTTATAGTAAAAAAAAACTGACAAGGGCATATACATGTAAATACAACATGCAGGCTTTTCTTCATTCCCATAGACTAATCTGATTAGCGGCCATAACTGCAGTGACACAGCACTAGTACTTACACGCACATTCTTCAGTTTGGCACATGCGTGCATTTGACAAATAGCAACACGCCATTGAAGAGGCATGTCATATGGAGTATTTTCTTGATTTGCATATTTGTCTTGTTGAGTTACTTCTTGATCAAATTAATACACATGCATATTTTATAAGTTAAAAGCCTGATAAGCATTTGCGATGTTGTAATCTGCGTAATCACGGTGTCTGTCCTCGGCACAATTGAGGACGTGTTCAACTAGATGCCAGTGGACAAACGTTTCTTGCTATTTTTGTGTTTCCGCCGTCCGGCCCCACAGGAAATTATGCACTAACTACAGGGTTTGTGCTTGCAAAATGAAAACAAAACATGGAAAAAACAACAACCACCACAAAACAACAACAGGGAAAAATACCGGTAACTACACCTGTTAAAATCAGTCGGCGTATCAGATACGACAGACCTGAGCGGCATATCATAGTATGATATGTATGTTTAAGCGGCTGAATTATGCATATTTCTTGACGCATGATAAAAAACTCCAAATTGGAATTATCCATGCATACATGTATACCTGGACGGCCACTAATTGCCAATAATTAGCTTTGTTCACTGGATGCATTTATGTACAGACGGTCATAAAATCCATCCAAAAGTAGTTAGTATTGATAACAGCTCCCAACAGTTAATCAGTAGACAACACAAATCCAAACTAATGGTAATTTTAAACTCATTATCATATCTGTGCAACAGGCTGGACGACTCCTTGGAGTTTTTGCCATCAGCAGAAAGTTCAGTGTTTCATAACACAGTGCCCATCAACACTTGTTTCGTTATATTCTTCTGGGTAAACTCACGTACCCGAAGTCATGATGTACAAAGAGATAAATCGTGTAACCTCGGGTTGCTGCGTTACAGCTCACTGTCCTGCCTAACGTGGCATTGACATGTTAAGGCAACGGTTGTAGGCTTGTGTGTCTTCTAACTACTCCTTGTGCCTGTCTTTGTGGCGCCTTGCTGGTTACCAGAACAATAGGAAGTACCCCACAAGGAACATTCGTTGTCCTTTTGGGATACTTAAATGGTACTCCACAAGAATTGTACAAAATAGTGGTAGATTTAGGCAATTTACTCAAAAAGGAGGAATTTCCAAGGTATACTTTTCCGTTGCAAACTGAAATATAAAGGTATTTTTGGTCGCCAAAATGGGAGCCATTTGGAAACTGCACTTTGCACTCTAAATTTTTAGCACACGAGAACAAAGGAAATACTCCACATGAATACAAATAAATGGGTTTGTGCATGCACATGTAAGGAAGTGTAAACAAAGGATTCGTACTTACAGACTGGACTCACATACTCGTCGTTGAGTTATTGGAATTGTACATTGAAATACATGTAGATGATATGGGAACCCAAAACTTATTAGAACAAACTTTTTGTCACCACATTTCGTTCCTGATTTCCCCAGACGAGAGATTGTCCCCTGAATTCCAGAATGAGCTGGCATTCAGCACATGCTGCAAGGAAACTGCCAATGGCATATGTACACATGCACATGTATGCGACCCTGCACAACAAGTGGGCGTACAGTCGCATTTTGCTCTTTCCTATTTTGAGGGTTCAAATATTGAAGTGGAGATCAATTTTGGCGTTTGTAATATTTGGAAAGAGTAACCCGTGTATTTTATTCTCGAATTTATTTTACAGGACTCTATTTAAAAATGTCATTTTCGCAGCAATTTTGATGATAGCATTATTTGTGCCTGATCAGAAGTGTTGAAACAGTGTCAGAAACCGAGACGCAAAGCTGCCAGAATAATGACACGTTGTCACCTTATACTTCTACCCTAGGTGGTCCAAAATATCAATATCTCAATTTTTGGAAGTTCCAACTTTTAAATCATTTGGTGGTGACAGGTCACATACATGATACAGGTTATATTTGAAGTCCAATTAAGCAGAGAGTCAAAACACTGGTTCTTTAAAAGCAAGTGTCCTGGCTGCCCCCGCCCCCCCTTGACAGGATATTTTTAAATTTTTTTGGAAAATTGTGTGGGGGGGGCCTTCACCACATGGAGGAGACAATTTTTTAAGGAAAGTGGAGACAAAGGGATCGCATTTATCCCTCTAACGTTTTTGGTGCTGGCAACATCTGCTGGTATGTTTTTATGCATGCCTAGTCCCACAGCTTTACCAGTATGTGTGGTCTAGCCAGAGTGTGCAATGTTCCTGTTGTGCCCACATATGGTTGGTAATGTGACTGTCCAAAATACATTGTCCTGGATTAGTCTTTTTCAGGAACATTTAGTCATGACGGACTTCCTTTAAAGGAAGCCAAACATTACCAGCTCAGGGGGACGGTGGAGATTTTCCATGGAGATTTCCGCAGATCACAGAGTATTACCTGTCAGTGAAGTGATGTGGCATGAAATGGCCAGGGAGGAGTATGTTACGAAACATCGCAAAGCCTTTTTGACGGTGGCTTGAGCTGACTCGCTCACATGGTTGGTTACTGTTACAGACCCGCATTGCACTTTGTACGGGGGGGGGGGAATGTTTGGTGAGACAAGGCAACATGAACATCCACCGTTTCCGTCGCTGGACTTTTTTTGTTCGTCGTGCTTTGGCGCGCTCCCCTTGCACCACCCTCGATAGATTCTTAAATAAAAATTGTCCACATTTACGGGATTCCCTGTGTGCACAGGGGCTAGACTGCAAAGTTGCGAACAGACACCCAAAAGCGCCCCCTACTTGAGTCTTGTACCTGACCCCCTCGTCTGCTCTTGCGCAAATGCAAACCAAATCCTTGGATGATGTTTCACCTACTGGTAACCTGTCCAGAACACCAGGTTCTACTTGTCTATATTTCTTATATAGTTGTAATATTGAAAAAAGAAACAAAATCACAACAGGAAAGAAAAATTTGAATGAAAACGAGAAGGATTAATATGACTTTATGTTAGTCATAACCAGAATCACTGCAACTACTGGACAGTAGTCCTTATTCTTTTGTGGAACAATGACTTGCATGCAAATGAATTTTCAAGACAGTTATGGGTCAAAGGACTAGCACTCATGACATGAAAATGTATGCTCAGGAGTTGCTCAGTCTTGGATATAACTAGCCACTGTTGAGTGATCAAAAATCGTGATGCAGAGAGCAATTTTCTGGTCCACTGCTTAACATATTTTCTTGCTGACATTTTTTGTGAACACAGATGAGGACGAATCCCAGGGAATCTTGGAAGGGGAGGAAGCCCCGCCCTTCGACCTCATCAAGTGCGGCGAGTGCAACGCCGACTTTGCCTTGGCTGACATAGTCAAGTTCATCGAGCACAAACGGAAATGCTACCCCCGGGTAGACCCCATGCAGCTGATGGCCTCGTCCACCGACGCGGCGGAGGAGATGGACGAGGTGGGCCTCAGGAAGACAGAGACAGAAGAAGGGAAGAGGGAGGGGGAGGAGCAAGCCAAGGAGGAGGAGAGGGCGGTCGCCATCACAGACGTGGTGGTCAGGACCGAGAAGCCAAAGATTATCACCCCGATTAAAAGGATTTCGTCGTCTTCATCAGTGCAGAGAGATCCCGTCTCCCCGCGGGTCAAGCAGACGCAGACACAAACTGCAGGTCAGTCAAACCCTTCTCTCATTTCTTAAAAAACAGAATTAAATGCTTCGTTTCATGAAGAAGAATTTCACAGTAATACCTGTTTATCCATGGCATGTCAGTATAGTTCTGAAAAAAAAAATGAGTCTAAGTTTGTAGCACTGTGCTCCAAAGTGTGTTTGGGAGAAAGCTGTTGGCTTTTTCTCTTCCTGTCCCCGGGCTTTGTTCTGGCTTCTGGCTTCTGGTTCTGTTGGGTTTGTCCCCTGGCATCTTCAGGATCTTTCTCCAGAAGACAACCGGAGGATACTGATCGAAACATCAAGTGGCAAACTCCTCTCTTTTCAGAACCACGCATCTAATGTCACCATGAAATTCCTCCTCACATTGCCACCACTATGATTGGCTCCAAAGTTTTACACATTATATGCATTAAGTTGCCATGTTTTAGTACTTGGAAATCTTTTTGATGTCATGGAGAGAGGGCGCTTTGTAACTCAGCAACAACGTCCCACTGGGCCAACTCAACCATCTGTGCTTGTTTGTGTATGTGGTTCAAGTGTTATGCTCAGTCTAAACATGAGCAAACCTCAGACAAGTGTATGAGTTGTTGAGTAAATCTCCATCACTAAAGGTTGAGCTGTTTATTGTGATCACAGTGAGGAAGACATTGACGGAGATGGCAGATAAAGTGAATGATACAAGGGAACATAGGTGGGATTTGGATACATAGCAATACTTTTTAATAAAACCTTGGTCCAGAAGTACTGGGCAAGTTCTTGGAACTACTCAGGGAGTCCTTTTTGAAAATAATCTCTCAAAGTCTAAGTTTTGACAAAATTATGGTTTTCCAAATTCATACATGTAACTTCTCTTGGAAAGTGTTTTCTGTTCAGTGTCTGTATTATTCAACCTCATCCCCCAACCACCTTTGTAACTGGCATTAAAATCAGTACTCAGAAAAAAAAACTTGACTACGACTCTGCGATGTAGAGTCTTCCTTAGCAAGGCCACCTGAATTGTCACGGTAAAGGAGGGCTTTGGCTTGACTTTACACATGTACATGTAATTCAAAAATGGCCATATTCAGCTACCCCACCAAATAGCCTTTCAGGTGAGTTCTTACACGTGGAATCCACAGATTAAAAATACATGGATGACTGACATTGCCTTAGACATACCGCAATGGATCCCACAACATGCCAAAGTAGCATATATACATGTTGGATGAAAATCCGGAGTCAGCCATATTTTCCTGCCTCAGAGTCATAAAATGTTTAGGTGCTTGGACAAAACCGCAAATATGTAAACACCGAAAAACCACAAAGTACAGGTTTGTTTAAGATTTTTGTGTCTATGATAACAGTTCTAGACTGACAGAGTGAGTGGTACAGGTAGCTGGTGTACTAAATGAAGTCTCGCTCAGCCCAGGGCAAAACACAAATTTACAAGTTGCATGAAGGGGAAGGACTTTTTCTCAGGAAAAATTTGCATTGTCTGTCAGTAATAGACATTGCCATTGCTAAGGTGCTTTGAAAATTGACACAGACATTCAGTAGCGTTTGCATTTTTTAGTTGCGGTCTCAACCGTTCCAGTGTCTGTAGGCACGTAAATCAAATTTTTAATTTTTTTTTTTTGGTGCAGGGTAAGTCCTCTGAAGAGGTCCCTTTCCCCGTATGAAATGCCATGTTTTCTGTAATTGCACAATCATCACAAAGACTAGTGATGTACGAGTACGATACATGTAAATCCCTTGTGGGTATTCTCCATCCAGATGCCCGAGAGCAGAAGGAAAACAAGAGCACAAAAAAACGCTGGAATCCATGAATGTCTAGGAGGGGAAAGGCAGCATTCATGTCCACATAAATCCTCACATTGTGGTTTGCACACTCTATGCACAATTTTCCCCACAATCCCAAACAAAGCAAGACAGGAAAGCCCGAAAGTGTTTTTTTTCTCTCCCTTGTCCGTTGAGGTGGAACAAACAGCCAATATGAGACAGCTGTCCCTCTACACATTCCAAGCTAATGTTAGCTGTGAACTCATCGATTTTCATGTTGTCTGCATTTTTATATTGTCTGTCTGGCTATCACACGACAATTTTCTCTGTTGTCATGGACACCATAGTAGCTTTCATCCCACTTAAGTATGCATGGTCCATGCCGATTAAAGTTGCTTTTTTGCATCTATATGTTTATCTTTCCCATGGTGGTTGCCATCTTGGTTCTTAGATTTCTGGATTTAATAGGAGAAGCCACGAAGAAGGTTGGAACAAACAATTGTGATTAGCATTTTCCAGCTTCAATTCAGGACACGCTCCGGGCATCCTTGCGGTAACAATCATTATGCCCTCTCTAAACTAAAGAAAAAAAGAGACAGGGAGAGAAAGAGAAAAGAAGACTAAAATGGGTTTTTCAGCTTGAATTTCTCCAAAGATGTCTGTGGTCATGTACACAGATATCATGCAGATTAGTTGGATGAGTTGATGTCTCCATAAAGTTTTTGGATCCCAGCTTTCTACATGTACCCTTAAACCTAAAAGGAGTTCCAGCAGTACAGTTATACGCCTTATTCGCATGTGCCTACAAATCGCAGGATTGTTAAAATCTTTAGATTGTAGATTTACATTCTTTTATTGATACAGCTTCGCAAATTTTTGGGTTGCTTACGCATGGCACACGCACATTTTAGTGAAACCCTCCATGCTGACTGAAGTTCACATGTGAACAAGTGTACGTGTACAAGTAAATAAACAAGATTGTTTGCCGCATTCTGAACATTCAATATGCCATCTGGAATGGCTTCACTGGGTGGCACATTTCTCATTTAACGATTGGACTTCCAGCTTGCACATGACCAGTGTCCGGTTGTAACCTCACTCATCACACCCATTCTCGTTTGGGACAGGCCCACTGCGCAGCTACCTGTGGAACTGTGCAGAATGGTCCGGTGCTGTTCCCAAAGGAGAATTGCGGGGCTGTGTCAGGGGTTGCTGCCACATGTCACACTTAGACTGTCTCCCATGCTTTGAAAAGTCCAAGGTATTGACCCTGTAATAAGAATTTTCTCAATCTTTTGGTTTTATTTTGCAGAGACCCAACATGTGCATGTACGTGTACGTGTGCGCACATTTGTTAACTCATCCGGTGAACATGAAATTTCTTGTACAATTTCACCGGCACATTGTCATCATTGGTATTCTAGGCAGATGAGCCTCCCTACTTTAGTAAAGCTATCCAGTATACATGCACATGAATGTACCGTCATCTTTCAACTTAGCATGTTCAAATACGACAGAATGACGAATGCCATCAATAAAATCTGTGAATCGGCAATCAGCTGGGGTATACATGTACTAGCATCATCGTTTCCTACTTCTCAATTTCATAATCAATTTGAGATTTCTTCACTTCTTCACCTTTTATGTACCTAAATGTGTACTGGCAAAGTAATGCTTTTGGTGGGAAAAAAAATTGGCATGAAACTGGACTTAACAGAGCAGCTTTAACGAAAAACAACACATCACAAGAGTTTTGCAACATAAGCAGAGCCATCCAAGCACGACTGATGCTGCCGATTTCTGCCCATAAAAGCAGCAGCCTACAGCCAGCCTTCCATTCAAGCCAGCCAGTTGGCCCAACGAGACCAGCTTGCCTTATGAATATTAGCCAGGTCTGCCAGACATAGCATGACCTTGAGGTCAGCCGACCCTGACATTGAATAGTGGCTCTGTACATATTTTTCAGGGCAGGCAGACCAGCCAGCCATTATCAGATTGCAAACATGTAAATATGGAAAAAAAATTAAAGGCAGCCAGCACACAGAAGAGTGTTCAGTGCATGTACAGGCCTCTGTCTCAAGATAGCTTTGGGTCAAACATTTTATAGGGGGAAAGCAGAAGTTAATGATTGCACTGAGAAGGTTTGAATGTTTAAAGTACCTGTAGGTCAAGATCTTCTAGCCAGCAAGGTACAGTAGAGTAGATTCCCATATGTCCAAATGATGAATCTACAGTGCAAGAGCACTTTGGTGAAATTTTCTTCAGTCTTTTTTTTTTCCCCCAGCTTATATTTAGCATTTTGATTAGTACTCCGTCGAAGCACATAAACTACAGGAGATTGGCATTGCCCCCAACTCAGCACTTTTATTTAAATGATAACCTCTGTGCAAAATTTGTCAAAAATCAAGACATTTGTGCCAAAGCTCATGTGTGACCTGGCACAACAAAGTGGGCATAAAGTCGCGTTCCGCTCTTTCCTATTTTGAAGGTTCAAAGTCAAATATTGAAGTGGTGTTCAATTTGGGCATTTTGTAACCTTTGAACAAAGTGACCCGTCTATTTAATTCCAATCTTTTTTTGCAGGGTCAGTATTTAAAAATGTCATTTTCTCGGGCAATTTCAGTGATAGCATTACTCTTGCCCAATCAGAAATGTCGAAACAGTGTCGGAAACAGACACAAAGCTGCCAGAATAATGTCACATTGTCACTTTATACTTTCACCCTAAGTGTTCCATGTGCATACCATTAGAAGGCACTCTTCCTCCTAAATTAAGAAATACCAATATCTTATTTTTTAAAATTCCGGCTTTCGGTTCATTTTGTGGTGACAGGGTCACTTACTTGTACATGTACAGCACCAGTGCGCATAATTCATCCATATGCATACATATTCATACGGAAGCTTTGATTCCCAAATAGGAAGTAAGGTCTTATAAATATGCTGTTCATGAAAATCCGCTCCCAGAAGACAGTCATGACAGGCCGACTGTGACAGTCACAATGACACCAATAGGGCTGGCAAAAGTTGACAACAAGTTTGTTGATGACAAAGTCAGTGACTGAATGATACAGTGACAAGCAGAGGAAAAGACCATTGTTGTAGGAAAAGACAGTGACCATAAAAGAACCCTTTGTAAAAGCTGGCGATCATGCAGATCTGTTTAAGCAGACAACTACATGTTTTCATTTAAAAATTCAAGTTCATGGAGGTTCCCACAGAACTGGTATTTCCTTTTGGGTGTATTTGACTGAGCTAAATTAATTTTTTTTTTTTTTAAGTTGACTGTAATATTTTATTTCTGTCACGCCGGTATATGTATTTTCGGACTATGGTGAACACGAATGGACAGGCTAGTTTTTTCCCACACAAATGATGACACAGTTTGTACTTTCCATGTACATGTATGCTAGCATACGTCAAGAGAGCGGACGTCTGCAAAAGTAGCTGGCAGAAATAAACAGTTCATTTTTCCTCTTGTCAAAGTGATTCACCTCTGAAGGGTGGATCACATTATGTCAATTTGTCAATTGGTTTCCCTGTTAAAATATCAATAGTATGAACTGCGTTTCTCTCTGGCCTATTAACCACTTTGCGGGGGGGGGGACTCGGTTTCTGGCACATAGGCTTCATACGCGAAATCAGACAAAAGAACGGGGCCTTGTAACAAAAGAATGAGGTGCTGGGAATTGCCAACATTTTTTCAGTTGTCAGTAGCGAAGGAAATTCCGTCATTGTTTTGAAAGATTGTACCCGCTGTTTGTGGCTTTCGGTGCGAGCGGATTACCACCGGGGACAAAAGCACTCCAGTGTTTAGGGATACAATACCGCTGCACGCTAATCTGGCCCCTATTGAAAAGACGTAAGCAGCGCACTGTTTTGGGAACAAAAGAAAATTACATAACACCACACACAATCTGGGCTCTTTTTACAAGGTGGCAGGCCTGGCTGAAATACTTGGGCGTCAGTAGATGTTGTTTGTCAGATTAGAGTAATGACCAGACAGTCATCGTGTGGGTGTAAACGTCCAGTAAATAAAGTTATGAATTTTTAAAGACTTTTGAAAACAGAAAAAAATTAAAAACCTAGCACAGCAGAATCAACAAAGATAAATGGACCTGGAGCAAAGTGATTAAACCCATTTGAAAACCCTTTCTTTCTCTTGTGTTTCCTACCTTCCAAAGCTGGCACATTGTTCCTTTGCCCCCATTGTCCTCCAAGAGAAATTTCTGCCATCTTTTAACCTCCCCCCCCCTTGGTAAATTTGACTGAAATGGACTCATCCTTGTGATGTTGCCAACAATAAAAGTCATTCACTATTTTGATGTTCATGAGCATTTGAAAGGCTTGTTACATGTATCATATACGCTCTTTTTCTTTTTCATAAACAGAGCCTGACCAGTCGAAGACCTACATTTGCTGCTCATGCAAGGATATATTCGATGATGCTGTAAGCCTCCTGGAACATGTGCAGTGTGATCATGGAATGCAGATTTACCAGCAACCCTGGAAGACAAGAGATAGTAACAGTACCGTGTCGGAGTCTAGCTCTCACAGCTCCGGCGAGGCCAAGACGTCCCGGAAGACATACTCCCCGCAGTCCCCGGACAGCGATGTCAAGCTGGTCATGCCTTCTGTGTCCACGACGCCCTCTTCCTCGTCCGCGCCCCCTCTCCCCCCCTCACATCCGCCCCTCCCGCCGGCCCTCCCCATACCCCCTGCCTCATCCGTTGCGGCTCCACCCGCCCACCACCAACCCCCGCTGCTAGTGCACAGCCCCCACGCCCACCATGCAGTTCACCCCCTGGAGGGCAGCTCGCTGTCGGTCTACATGCATCCGCCGGCTGGCGAGCAGCACATACTGCCGGAGAGGATGTACGCGGGCCCCATCAACCCAACCCAGTGCATGACCCTGAGAGACGTGCTGGCAACGGAGCGAGCCAATCTGAACAGCCACATGCTGATGACACCGCAAGGATTTGATCGTAGCTCCCATCCGACCTTCTCCTCCACCAATACAGCAATAGACATGGACATGTACTCACAGCGACTGCGAGAACTGGCCGCCGCGGGCCCAATGAACCCACCCAAAAAGAAGAGTTTTCACTACCCAATCTACAGCCCCCGGTTCAAGTCCCCATTCTCGCCCAAGGTGAAAGCGTGCGAGTTTTGCGGGAAGACGTTCAAGTTTCAGAGCAACCTGATTGTACACCGGCGGTCTCACACTGGGGAAAAACCCTACAAATGCCAGCTGTGCGACCATGCTTGCAGTCAAGCGAGCAAGCTGAAACGGCACATGAAAACGCACATAAACAAGCCACCATCTACCCTGACGTCCCCATCGTCTGGACCGAACCTGAGTGATGACGGGGTCTCGGGAGAGACTAGCGCCAGCTCCCTGATCAAAACAGCAGTGGACCGCTACATGAGCGAGACCAAGTTTTCCAACAAGGACACGTCCATCGACGGCGACGAGAATGAAGACGATGAAGAGGAGGAAGAAGGGGAGGAGGAAGAGATGGAAGGGGAGGACGAGGAGGAGGAGATGGAAGAAATCAGTAGCGATGAGGCCAACATCGGTGAGAGGTCATCAGACACTGATGGCCTACCCCAGTCCAGCCACCGAGATGACAACCATGATGAGAAGGAGAATCACTCTTCGCTCCTGAGCGAGGTGATGAAGCACACTGGTCTGAGCGAGATACAGCAGTACAGTGAAGCCTACCAGCAGGCTGTAGCCGAGAGATACCGCACCAGCCGCCGCCACTCGTCCAGACTAGAACAGCACATGGTCCGGGAGCGGCAGCTGAAGGAGCCGAGGAGTGGAGACTCCACGCTGCTCAGGGAGGTCTTAGCTGGCCCTAGCTACCACTCTCCGGAGAAGGAGCGATCCCCGACCAGGTCCCCGAGGAATGCCATGTCGGGGTTGGAGGAGGTGACCAAGCGCATCAAGGTGGAGCCTCCGAGTACGACGTGGGGGCCCGAGCCCAGCAACTTTCCCAGTAAGGACCCCTACAATCAATCGCCGGTCTTGATGCCATCGCAGAGTAGCCCCTCTGCGAGTGCCACCAACGGAACGGTGCCAAGCTACTACAGTGGGAGCAACAGCACCGGCAGGCCTGCCCATTCCAGCCCTTCGTCGTCTATGCCCTACAGCAGCCTGGCCCTGCACAAGTCCCCGAAGGAGCTGGCCATCGACCGGCGCACCGGCACCTGCGAGTTCTGCGGTAAAGTATTCAAGAACTGCAGCAACCTGACAGTGCACCGCCGCAGCCACACTGGCGAGAAGCCCTACAAGTGCGAGCTCTGCCCCTATGCCTGCGCTCAGAGCAGCAAGCTGACCAGGCACATGAAGACGCATGGGCAGGGTGCCAAGGAGGTTTTCAAGTGCGAAGTGTGCGGGATGCCTTTCTCGGTTTACAGCACACTTGAGAAACACATGAAGAAAAGCCACTGGGGCAACATCCGAGGCACCACCCGTTGACAAAACCCACACGTTCAAATTCCTTTCATTCTAGGAAGACTTTCCATACACCTAACTGTATTTGTCAACTGATTGCATCTTTATACAGATTAATCCATTTCTACATTAAAAAAAAAACAGAGAGAACATTGAGAATGCAATAATTAAAAAAAAAACTGAAAATCACAGATACCAATGCAGCAAGAAGCCACCAGAAATTGACTTAATCCCTAGAATATATCTCCCAATGAAAGGTGGCCCAACATTGAGAGAAATTCTGTCATGTGTCACAGTTTTCTCTCAAAGCAGGTGATGTACTATTTGAGGGTTGGAAATCTTTACAAAGATCTGTGGCGATTGAAAGATTTCTTCCAGCTGCAACACCCTCTGTGTTCCTGTGCACAACTTGTTTTGTTAGCCGTCCAGAAAATTCACCATTTTGAAAATTATCGCAGCTCAGAATGCACTTGATTTTGAAGTTGATATTTGACTGGACTCTATACAAAACAGATCATCAGCTAACCACAATCCACCTTTACATTCAAAATGTTTCAAGTAATTGAAATTATGTTGATTCTAGCAAGACTGTTGAAAACCATATTTTCCCCCAATGTGAGAGGAGTCGTTGAAGGCACTTGATAACAGTGATTGATGATTTCGTCATCTCTTGATTTTTCAATGTACATGTACTTAGGAGAGATTTTACTCAATTTACAAATGTTCAAATGCATTTGGTATGCACAATGAAAGTTCTTGTCCTTTTGTTTTACACCTCTTGTAAGTAACAAATATTTTCGGGAGTGGATTTTTTTCACTTTGTGAAATTCTTTGAGATTGTATGGATAACCACTTTTGGACAGGGGGTATATTATTGTTTTCCTTTTCAAATTAATCCAAAACTAGTTTGGATTTCTTTTGGAACTGTGTAATGCACTATGTATGGAGAGCTGTGCAGTGCGTGTTGAATGCGCCATCCTGTGACAGACCTTGCGTTGCCCAAAACACCAGTATTTATCCTGTCTTGGAATGGATGAATTCCTTAGATGCTGCAGTGTTCTGGTTCAAGGGCGCTTTGCAGGCTCGTCACGTACTGCACAGCGATTGGCCAAAATGTGAGATTTCACTTGGCGAATAAACTGAGTGCATCAGACAGTTATTAAAAAGTTGCACAGATTGTCCAACACGCTTATACTCAGACCGTTGTACACAGTTACCGTGGGCACCGTTTAAAAGCAAGTTAATAAATTTGGGGTGTTGTACGTGTGGAGGTTGACTTGTGCAATATTTAAAGAAAATTTCATCACTTTTCTTTTTCCTGCACTCACTGAATAAGAGTGTATCATAAACAATGTACATGTAACACCTAGACAGAATTAGTTGGAATTGATGATGTATTAAGGTTTGCAGCATACATGTAGGTTGGACCGTGATTCCTTGGAAACTTGATCGGGGTTGGGGAGCATGTTTAATTCTCGTATCACCTGCAGCTGTGTGTATACAGTAAGTTTGTATATTATATATGTGAATGTTATAGGACGAGGTACAGGTAGTTATTTTGCATACTGGGAAGAAAAGAAATGAAGTGGTGGTGCTTCTTCTATCATGTGTTTCTCCCTCTTCGTGCTGGTATAACCAGAGAGGCATCGTTTCCCCAACAAGGTTGGGGTAGCTAGTTAGTTAAAAGTTAGCGTTTAACAAACGTTACGTGTGCCAAAGCTGTGTAAGTGAATGAGGGGAACCTGGTTCCTATCATTTTTAGGTTTTTTTTGTTTTGGTTTTGTTTTTTGGCCCTTCCCCCCTTTTGTTTTCCATTTTTTTTTTGTCTGTTACTGCATCTTTTACTTGTACGTACATGTAGTTTGTAATCTGGCATTATAATGCGTGTAAATAGACCTGTAATATGCAGCTGGCTTCCAAAATGGCTCTTTGTTACAAATATACAAATATAAGATATATATTATAATTACTTCTTGCGTGAATTTAGAAACAAAACAAAAAAATGGTGTCTGGCTTTTTTCTCCTTGTTTGTGCATTTTTTTTTTATACATTAAAAGCATGAGTTATGGATATGATTAATGTTTAGGGCTATGTAAAAGCCCAGTACATCTATCCATGTATGAAATACATGGATTGACTGTAATCACCAGTGGAAATCACATTGCAGCTGAATTGAGTCACTAACTGTCAAAACTAAATGTGATAGGAGGTAAAACTGACAATTAATGTATGTAAAGTCTTTGAAAAAAAATTACTATTAACGTTATTGGAGCCATCTTAAGCTTAAAGCAAAATAGAGATTTGAAAAATCTACAACCTTGAGTCTGGCCTTGTAGGAACTTTACTGTATACGAACCTAAATCTTTAAATTTATGCAAATGATGAGACAATGAAGTTTTGGTGCTTAGAGTTGTAGAGCGTTCACACGGTTAGAGAAACCACAAGGTGAGTTTTGTGTTCATTCTGAGGAAAAGTTATTCAGTTTGTCCCACAGTGTCGGGAGTATGGGCATGTGCCCATAATGAGATAGAAGGTGTGTGCGTTAGATTGTTACCAGTGTGGGCGTAATGCACAGTTAAATGCAAAACCTTTGGAAAGAATTCCCATTGTTTATCCCCTTCTTACCTGACCGTCAGAGATGCAAATAAACTCATCCTTCTATGTACACTTTCTTCACCCGATAGACTGCATCATTGACGCTATTTTGCAGTCTATCTTAATCACACATTGCTGCTTTTTTATATAGAGTTTTTAACAATAGTTATGTATCGTCAAAGTAACGAATTTCCAAAAACTGACTGAAATACATACGGTTACCGTATATATATAAATACATGTATATATGTGTCTAGCACAATCTGTCTATGGTCAAAACACTGTTTCTAAAACATTAAAATAGTACATGAAAGCCAACATTTCTTAACTTGATGGTTTTACAGTGACACCCTATGGCAGTGAACATTTTATGGTCTGTAGTTTTGAAATTTAATAATTAATGGTGTAAGTAGATGTAATGTTGGTGTGGGGAACATTTGTAGTCGTTGCCTTCTGAAGTCCAATGTTGGGTTTCCCTCTCCCCTAAGAATATTTATTGTAATTCAGATGTAAACAAAAATACCACTTCAAATTTTGTATCAAACCTTTGAACTGAAATGTATACTAAACCCAAACCTTGTCCAAGATGTACAGAAATTCTTCACTGTTCCCCCCCCCAAACACTTTTTTAAAATGATTTTTTTTCATGCAGTCTTTATGTTGTCAATTTCTTTTGCATTTTTATTCACCGAGCTCTAGTTTGCCCAATGAATATTTTAATCCTTGGAAATCTTCCCTTGAACCCGGCCTTTTGAATAGATGTAGATCTATGCCCAGAAAAATTGAACAACCAAATGATATGTGCCCTGTGTAAGCATTTTATACTGGTAGACCAGACATCGTCCAGAGATAGCACATCATTTGTAAGGTCATTGCTGGCGAAAGCAAACAAAGATAGCTCAAACACAGCATAGCTGTTCATGCAGTTGCTGAATCTGACAGAGTGAAACCAGGGACTTGGCGGTGAAAATCACTCTGAATTCTCCATTCATTGGAGTGAAGAAATTGCATTTGAGTTCGTCTGGTCTTTAATTTCGATCAGAGGGGGTGAATTTTTCACTTGAATGGATTGAATTGTCACCCTTTGGAATTTTGAGAGCAGTTACCAACAGAAAACAATGCTCCCTTTATTTGGGTCATACTAGCATTTAGTTTGTTGGTGCATATGCAACTCTGGTGGCGCGTAGACAAGGTCGTAATCTTGCACTGGTGAACCAATTTTACATTTTTTTTTCTGTCAAGATATCGTGTCGTGACAGCACAAGGGGAAAAAAGCTTGCAGTTACCACGGTAACAGCAAGACATAATTCCTTGTCACGATGATTGTCAATTGCAGTCTGCGCTTTGGCTTCAAGTTGTCATTGTTTGCTGTCAAGCGGGACTGAATCATTTTTCATGCGAAAGATTCAGGTTTGGTTTCACTGCTTTGGGATTTTTTACAATCAAGAACTTTTTTTACTAAATGAAAATATGATTCTTTGTTCTCATTTAATCACATGAACATGATCCTTGTGAATTCATATGGTACTATATTGTAATTCCAAAAATGGACAAGGAACTAATGCAGACATGGTGATGCATTTCCAAATTTATCAAATAAACATGGAAAATTCTAGAGTGCCTGAGATCATGTCAGTCTACCGAGGCCAAGCCCAGTCATTGGAAGTATGACAACGTTTTCTTTTTGTTTACATTTTATGGTTTGGGTTGTTTACCAGACGCTTTTATATTCCACTCTTTTTTACAACACATATATTCTCTTAAATGTGTGAGAAAGTGGAGACTTTTCTCATTCACGTCCTTTGTACTTGATGTGTGTAGACACAATAAACTATGCGTAGGAGTTAAGTGTTTCTTTTACATTTGCAAATTGGAAATTTGATATGACATTATCTGTGTTGGAAGTGGTTTCTTTTTTCAAAAACTGTTCCATTTTGTTCGTAATTTGAAACTGTGACCACTTGGTGTGTTTTCCACACTGCCCTACCACAACAATATGAGGATCTCACATGAACTTTAGTTGAATGGTTCTAAGTCTTTTACTCCAGACTTATGGGAGAATTTGAACAGTCATTATTCCATGTCAAAACTTGACCACTTGTTGCTGGATACTTAGTCTTCTTTCATATAAGTAACTTTTGGACTGATGGGCATATCATTGACTTTGTACAGGTTTGGTCTAATTTTGTTATTGACTATAAGGAGAACTGCCCTCTTGCATTCTCAATGCAAATGCATCAAATACTGTCCATTTGTCCCCCGTACATCACGATTAGTGAGTCAATATATGTGCCAATTCTTCCAGTTCTAAACTGGTTCCATGCTTGCAGTGGATGGGTTCCAGCCGTGAGAGATCCATTTTTTTTACTTTCATGAGAGGGAGAATTCTGTCTCTGAATATTCAGCTTCAGTGTTGCACTGTGTGTGATTTTTTTTTTTTTTTTAGTGAAGTGCTTCTGACTGACTCAAACATCTGATGTTGGTTGTGAACCAAGATGTTACACTCTAAAAAACAGTTCACTCTGTATATCTTGCGTGGACTAAGGTCTGCTAGTAGAATTTCCATTGAGGACAGAAAATTCATTTTTTCCCAGCGCTGGCTCTTGATCGACCAGTGGTATTCTTAATCCACTATGCACCCCCCCCATTGTAATATTTAAACAGTCATATTAAGACTTAACAGAAGTTGTTGAGTAAGAACTGGGGGAGATGTCATCAAACCACCCGTGTTATTGCAGACCCCAAAAAATTGAAATATAACGAGGGAGGGAAATCTCATTTCAACCTAGTTTGTTTTTTTTATCCCAGTGAGACTGTACCTTCTGTCCTGTGAGCCAATGCATCAATTTTTGAGGGGTCAGAAGTTGGCCTTATACCCCAGCAGCAGTCCGATTCCTGTTTTTAGCCTGTAGTGCCTCCCCCATTCGTTGGTAACTTGATATGGGAATGGGATTATTTTGAAATTTCAGATGAACGCATCATTTTCTGCAAATGACACCTTATGCGAAGGATCCCATTGTCTAGTGACCACATTGTGAACGATGTGCCTAAGTACCACCAACTATAGCAACCACTTTGATGAGTGATTCATTTCGTAAACTTGTCATTAAAATGAATTTACGATGACCGATTTGTAGGGGTGTTTTTGTTTGGAGAAATATTTTTGGAAGTGTGGCTCTGTATCCTTGATATGTGTATTACTTAACCAGCTCTTGATTGTTGCTGTCTGAAGAGTTTTCAAACTCTTTTCTAAGAAAAAATGAAAAAAAAAAAGATCACAACTCTCTCTTGCCACCTTTCCATCGTTTTTGCACTCACGTTGTTGCAAACATGGTTCACATTCTTTAAGAGTTAATAATTAGCGTAATAATACATTAATTAAACTGAAACATTAATGAACCAATTGGTGGCGGTATAACAGTTTATTGGTTTGGATTCTTATATACTACAGTATATGTTTTGATTTTGATTTTAGAGTTGTAATGTACAAGTAGTTAAACATAAAGATACTGCCGAGCAGACAAAGATTGTTAAGAGAAAAAAAACAATGGTAACTTTGTTAAAGAGACTTCAAAAGTCGGGTTACTTTGTGACAGCTTGCACTTCCTTGTACGTAATGACACCTAGGAACCATACGTTTCAAAGTTTGAGAGCATTCATTACGGTGGTTGAATTTTGTAATTGGTCCAAGCTTGCTGTGTTTTATTCAGAACTGGATTGAGGCACGGTGGGAGCGTCATGGTGTCTCGTGACTAATCTCATATTAGAAGTTGGCAACGAGATTAAAGCATGTTCCAAGTGTAATGCTGACCCCAGAATGAGCTTGCAAGGGTGCAGATCATTAGAAAGTACTGCTAGAGGTGTGTTGAAGCAATAGTCTGGCTGAATGTTGTACACATTGAGGAATTCCTCAGCCCAAAAAGAAAAACAAAATTTGCGGTGCTCAGCACTCTTTTCTCATGTAAATGTACTTGAGAACTTGCTTTAAAAACTCAACTCTTGCACTGTGTCACTGACTGGAAAAGTACTCATTGGGATCTCTTGTCGGGATGCCTGAAAGTGGGAAAGACAGAATGCGTAGTTACATTTCTCCCAGGGACCATGTTTGGTTAAGTTCACAGGAGTGCAAACTGTGCTCTGGGCAAAAGGTGGTTGGGGGCTGTGTTTGTGATTTTCAAAAAATTCAAAATGATTCCCAAAAGATACCTTGGCATTTTATTTCCCTTTTCACCTTGTACACATGGGAAGGAAAGGGTGAAGGTTGGCCATTTCTATGCTCGTGAGAATGATGAAAAAAAGAGATGGCTAGGCTGTAAACCCTAGTACAGGTTCATTGGTGTAGAGCATTAGCGTCATGGGCAGTGTAAGCCACTGCCGTGGTCAGGATAATAATAAAGTGGGGCGGTGTCAGGATACCCAACAAGACGAAAGAAGAAAAAAAATGGAGTCACAGTTCTAAATTGCCTGTTGTCATTTCAACATTTTAAGCTTTGTAAGATTTCACATGCTTTGTAATCATTGCTGCTGAGGATGGTGTGTGGTGTAGGGCATCCAACTACACTAGAGTGGAGTGGAAGGCCAGTAGATTAAGAAATGGCAGTTACATGTAGACAAAATCATCGTCTGGTCAGCCTGATATCATTATACCCTGTGGAGATGCAAAGTAACTATGTGGGTTGAAGTGTGGGAGGTGTATTTGTTGTTGTCTTGGAACAGGTTAAGTGATACCTAGCTTCAACGTAGCTAGTAAATGATGGTATGTGTGGCACTTGTAATGTTTCTTCAGATCTGACGCAGGTAAAAGAAACAAATAGAATATTGGAAATGGCAGACGGTTCCCCTCGACACAGTTCACTTAGGTTTTCCCTAACTGCTTTCCTCCATTTTGCTTCACTTGGCAGTGTAAACGTAAGGTCTGGAGTGAGTTATTTGAAGCTCGTATTTGCAGGTGGTGTTCATTAATTGGAAACGATTTGCCTGATAAGCCACCTCAATGAATTGTAGCAAGCAAGCTTGGTCCTGAAAGAGACATCTCCTCGATTTCAGATACTGTATAACATGTTTGGGGATTTTTTGGAGCTTGCTTTTTTTTCCTCAATACATTTTATTTTGCTGTGCATGCTGCGCATTGTAGCCTCAAAGGCATCTTTTACTCGAGAGATTAAAAAAAAGGAGTTGTGTAGACCATTCTCTGAGAGACACAGGCTATGCTGATCCTTCGGTGCTTTCAAAGAATGGGACGCACAGCGGAATAGGAGTGTACGTTCCCAGACCATACGTATATGTGTAAGCTGTTCTTTTCGTCAATTACGCGCTTTTGAAAGGCTTAAAAAAAAAAAAAACCTGCTTTTTTGTCACTTGTGTTATTCTTGGAATAAATATTGAATGATTGAAAACCACAGCTTGAGTGTTGTGTGAAGTCTGAACACTGAGTCAGCTTGATAGCTGGGCATCTGCAGTTATAGCTATGAGTAGCATGATTGTCTAGGGTATCCACTGGCTGGGGACACCTGTGCAGAATTAGGGTGGGGGGGGCCAGAAATGTGGAAATTTATGTAACCTTTATGACCCCTCTGAGGGGTAAGGTTTACAACTTGGAGCTTTTTACACACTTGGAAGGAGGAGAATTGAAATAGACCCAAAACTGTCCTTTTCTCGCATTTCAAAAACAAAATATCAATGGAATTGCCAGTGGTGCAGTCTCAAGTCATACAAGTTCCACAATCTTATTTTACCCGTCGTTCATCCACTCAAATCACCCGCTGTCATTCAGTGTGAGAAAAAGATTATTGGAGTGCTGGAATTTTTGTTGAACGGACAAACACAAAGACATGGCAAAACTAACGTCAGTGGTCGGGTTTTCATCCATTTTAATTGATCTAGTTTTAGGTGGAGGTGAAACAAAATAACAGCAATATGTAATGTCAGTAACTAGCTACCAGCTTTTGTAAGTAAGGTGGTTAAGGCATTTTACCTGAACCAACAAAACCCGATTTTCTGGTTGTCAAATCCCCAGCAAAATATGCTGCAAAATCTGCAGCATCACACATCTGTAAAACTCCCTTGGCATAATTATGACCACAAAGTGAATAAATTCAAATATAACTTCAAATACATGAATAAATTTACTTTTATAAATTCCAATACAAATATACCTAATGCACATCAATCATCTTATTATCCTATTTTCAGTTTAAAGTTCATAATATATTTGTTGTATAAATTTCACCAACTAAAATGAATGTATCTCAGTGTTTTTGATCGTTTTAACTCGCCTCTGAAGTAAAGTACAAATTTCCCACGCAGCAAACAATTCTGTACACTATAAAAATCTTTGGCAAAAATAATGCCATGATCTGAGAATGTTTCACACCAAAGAAGCACCCAAGCCTTACACATAACACCCACCATGATCATGCATCGGGCTATTCGGGTCAATGTTGAGACACCTTAAGACCATCACAAGACCAACGCAAGGCTTTCACAAGACCTCCGGTCTGAATTCAAGTAACAAGCTATTCAAATGGACTGCAAGAAAAGCATTCCTTTGGCACTGTACAACAAGCTACTGGTGACAAGTCTTGTGTCTAGCCTTGTACCTGGTCTTGTGAAGGTCTCACCAACAACACTGCAAGACACACTTGATTTCAGGAAGTCCTTTCGTATTTGGAAATGGCCCACCCATATTTTGTCTACACTGGAATATCCAATACAATTAAAATTGCACAGTACTGCTTTGAATGCCTGTTTCCACGATCTAGGTGATTCTTTAAGGATAATTTCCACATAGTGGTGTTTTCTTCCAGTTTAAATCAAAGTATCGACGTACTGCACATTATCTTTGCAGTGTTTCTGTTGATGTAAAGTTTCAGTGGTAAATCTGAAGGTATGCTCTCTCTTGTTAATTGTGCTCCATGTTACTAAATAAAACTTTGAATGTTTTGGGGGTGTTTGTCTGTTTAAAAATGACCAGTCAGGGACGCCTTGCTGCCAGAGACAGTCTTCATGGCAATGTGCTCAGTTCCACCTATCCCAGGCAGGCCGCTGGTCACGGCCGTCAGGTAGCTGGACATTTCCCCTGACTGGGCCGCCTTCCCGCTGTAGCTGCTGGGCGGGTCCGATGCCATGCCCACCTGGACTAGGTTGTTGTTGTTCCCCACCAGGGTGACCTTGGGCGGGGCCGTTGCCACGGTACTGCCGTAGGGCTGAGCCCCACCCACCTGGGTGCTGTAGCCCTGGTCAGGGATATCGTACACAGGAGGGGCATCCCGGGGCACTGCAGCCATGGAGGTGTGGTTGTAGCCCATGCCGTACTGGCCTTGGATGACCGGTATGCCAATCAGGGCCACCATAGGTTGTGGCTGAGGTTGCAGCTGGAATTGCTGCGGCTGGAGCTGTGGCTGCATTTGCGGCTGCATTTGCGGCTGCACTTGCGGCTGAATGCTGTCCGGCACATCCCGAGCAGACACCTTGGCCTTGCTCTTACCGCAATGCTTGCAGAGGAAGACAGTGAAGATGGTGAGGAGAATCAGGCCGAAAGCAGCGCTGGCAGAAATGATGATGATGAGTTCGGTCGAGACTGTAAAAGGAGGAAACCAGAACAGGATTGAGTCACCTGGTCAGCGGATAGTTGCCACATCGGTATTTCAAATGCAAGGTCATCCAAGGACAGAGCAGGTGTGAGTCAGCATACGGAAGCACTGACTGGGCAAACCTTGTGCAAAAGCTGTTGTTCTCCACTGACTGACAAGGTGCTTTATTTTGTACAGGTAATGTTGAAAAATTTAACTGGTTTACTCGCCTCAGAAATATAGACAGGTTCCTAGACCAAAAGAAACCACCTATATCGGAAACATATTTAGGTTTGGTAGCTGCCATCATCACTTAGCTAAAGAATTCCATTTTTGAAACTTTTCATAACTGGCCAAAATTTCCTGAACCCGTTTGGTTGATTCTCAGACGCTGATTGGAAATATCTGCAATGTATGAATCGTCTTTCTTCTCTGATTTCTCTGCAACTTTCCTCATTTTTTCCTGGCGGTGTATTTTTAAAACCTACTGCAACTCTTGCACACCTTTGCATCTTGCTCTAATTTTATCCCCAGTGGCTACTGGAGCCACAGTTTATACATGCTGGGAGAAACGGTCAGGTCAGGGAACCAGACTGTTTAGGAAGAAAGCAAGCAGCATTCTGCTCAGTCTGGCACTTGTACCCGTCTTAGGTTGTGCCCGAATTACCTGGCTGTGACTTATGTGAAATTATGCATAAAGTCTATGGTAAAGGCAGTAGCCATGTCCCACGGAGTTGTGTGCACTTTTGACCCAAAGCCAATCAATTCAGATACAGCACCGGCTACACACTCCAAAGCATTTCAGCATATGTGTGTTGGTTAATGACCTATCAGACAGCAAGGGGAACTTTCTGGAAAAGTTGCATTCCCAGGAAAAATGGGCATCAAAGACTTGTGCTGAGAATTGACTAACAACAAGGGGCATTATAGGCTTGCTAAAGAGACGACCATGAGTCAACCCCATTAAGCATGCAATTATGACATTTCTTTAAAAATGAGTTCCAAGCTGCATAATACCTTTTCATGCTTCTATACTTTAATGGCACATGTGGGAAATTAAAAAAACAGGGAAACTGGCTAATATGTGGAAAGGTCGCATGCTGGACGTAACCCCATCAATATGACAAAATATGATTAATCACAGCAAATATTACTATTACAAAACAAAATTTCTCATCTAGAAAAGAAACATACTTCACTTTAAACCAAATCAATTCAGATTCATGAGGATGCTTTGTCCTGAAACTTTGCCAAACATTTTTTTGAAATGGTCAGAAATCTTAAAAACCATCTCTTCTTTTATGCTGCAATAACGGACATCAACACATTTCAATTTCAAATTCCATTTGAAACCGTTTAAAGCCAGTCAAAAGTATTGCTGTGGAGTATCAACCCACAAGAAAACAGCCGCGTTTTGTTTCAATTTACTGCAAAAATACCACCAAATCATTTCTTCGGTGTTTGCAACGAAGGGATTTCAGTTTTCAATTACATGCTATTCTTCATCAGTTTCAGTCTGATTTGCATTGAAAAGAGAATACTTACGACCAAACAAATTCTCAGGCACTGCTGTAACTGTGAGGGAGAAAAAAAGTGGAGCAAAAAGAAACAGGTGTCAGGACGAAAGCAAGTTCTTTGTGACGAGAGAACCATGACTGTAGTATAGAGTACTGTAGTGTGACGTCATTGAGAACCAGTGAGCGCTGTACAAACAACTGGAATACGCCTCGCGTTTGTTTACGCGCTGGTTCTTACACTAATGCCTTTCACACACATAATTGTGCGTGGGACGCATTCCCTTTGATCTCTATATCAACAACCAATGGGTAAAGACAACCAGAGTTTTTAGTCTTGCAATTTGTTTCAAGGTGGTTCTTTCCATTGTACGAACCATTGACATGTACATGTTCACCCCTGGGGATGGTACTCCATCACCCAAATATAAGGAAACCCGTGAAGGTAGAGTTGGTTCTTGATTGTTACAGTGAGTAGCTGCCTCACAGTTATGTTACTGCCAGGTATGACTATAAGCCTGTTGATCAGGGGTAACGACACCATGGATTCAGACACCCCATGAAATGTGTATAGCATGACCACAAATCTTGGATGCATAAATGGCTATATTTCAAATCTTCACTTTGTCTTTATATTTGAATCCATCTCAAGTTCCGCAATCAGTTTTAAGCACTGAATGATTGAACTGAATGAAAATCCTCCACACATCGGCCTGAAATGAACTTGAATGATTCACGGAGAGAGCTTAATGCCTCAACTCATGGGGACTAGGTTTGTAAAGTTGGCGTCTGATATTAGAGGACAAAATATGGAAATGAAGCCGGACTTTGGGGAGACAGGAGAGTCGCATCTTGCCAAGAATGAAAGTTACCCCTTCTACAGACAAACCTCCGAAGGAAGACGTATTTTTACTGCAAAGTTAAGCAGCCAGAAACAGACGAGACTGTGACAGACTAGTCAGGATAGGACTGCATTGGTCTAGAGGAGTTGTTTTAAAATGGTCATGGGGAAGCCCTTTACTTTTATGATGGGTTCACAGTTGAAACAGTCCCCATCAGCTTCTGTCTTATAGAGAACACAACCCAGACAGACTCACCAATCTCATCGGCCTCGGTCGTGGGGACGGAAGGCCAGGGTACCCCCATGACGGTGAACGTCGTCAGATGGTCGGTGGCGCAGGTGATGGTCCCGTCACCGTTTTCTGTGGTGTCCAAGCCGTCTGTGCTCCAAGTGGTGCCGTCCCAATACACGCACTCGTTGTCCACCTCCGACAGAGGGTTTGTGATGGTGAAGTTTAGCAGGATGGGCGTAGTCAGGCCACTGATGTTCAACTTCTCATCTTCACAGAAGCAGGGGCAAAAAACAAATTACAATTTTGTCACATATCAAGTACATAGCAACCAATTATCTCCATTTATTCACAGCATACTGAAAAACTCGGTTTTCCTTTCCAACGCTGTGGCTCTACCTAGAAACTACAATGTCAATCTTCGACATCCAGCAATAAAATCAAATTTCAAAAAACGGCTGCTAAAATGGTTGTTAAATCTACTGTGAAGATAATGTTGGAGTTGGAACATAATGCCGTGTGTTGAGTGAATCATGCATCGACGATCACTGAAATTTATTTTTCATGCGACATCATTTGATGACCCTACAAACATCCAATAAGAAATAACTCTGACAATCCTAGGTTGTCATGTGGTTACGACAAGTGCACCGTCGAGAAAAGACAACATTTTCAGTTCTGACCAAGTAAGCTTAGACTTTTCCTCAAAAGCTCCAAGGTAGTACTGATCATGAAGTGCTTGCTAGAAATGAAAGACGTGACAAGGCAAGACGTAATGTGAACGTGGAGATTTCTGCCTTAGGGTTCAACTGACCTGATTCGGGGTCAGTCAAAACGATATCCAGAATGTCGGCCACGCGATAGTTGATGTGGTCATCCTCCGTGGACAGGAGATCCACTCCGGTGTTGTAGTGCTGAATCTTCAGGGTCACCCCTGAGCAGGATTCACCCGAGCTGCATATCCACGATGCGCTGAAACTGTGTGTATGGATAGCAATGCGGAATTGGTCAGTTGTCGGAGTGGACACACAAGAGAAAGAGGAATGAGATCCAATGAAAGAGTAGATCTGGATTTGTTTTTGGATTTATTTTCCCTAAGTCACAACTACATACAACGGTAACGAAACAAATTATTTACAGGTGGTGACAGATACGGGGCACCAGGAAAAAACCTAAGCCTGGTCCTGCTTTAATGGAAGGGAAGGTAGACTGGTCATGCCGTATGGCTGGCACATTTGGACAGACGCATCGCAAGAATAAAGAACAGACAATGTTCCAGTAATAGGGCTCTATGATTTCAAGGGTATGCCTGGTATTGCTTCTGTGGCTGACAAGCTGTGATTGGTCAGTTGGAGACTGTGAGGTGCATGTATGATTGGTCAACCGATAAGGCTGTACAGAAGGCAAGATATGACCAATCAATTGGTGAGGCTGTAAGAAAGGTAAGATGTGATTGGTCAAGATCACTAAAAGTAGTTAGATAGCATGTTTTGGTTGGTTAATTTGGGGTCAGGTGGGCAGCAAAAAAGGGCAATATTACAATAAGACAATAAACACGGTGGTGTCAAGTACAAGTTGATGGAAATGGTCAAACTGTCCTAGCACTGTGTAAAAAGGAAACTGTGATCAATCAAATGTGACCGGCTCCAGAAAATGGGTGCTAAGTCGCCAGACTCAGGTTAGGAATTTTGATATGTCTGGTTTCTGTACATCACAAGCTACAATTTGATATAGGAATGACCCCTGTAGTGCGCTGTGTTCCGGAGATATATGGACATATGTATATCCATACTTCAAGATTCAATAAAAGCACTTTTCCAGAAAAACCTCATGAAGTACAGCGCTTGGAAACACGATATTATATAGGATTTCTTACTGAATGATCCATTTTTCATCTTATTCCATGTTTGTAGTCACAAATTCTAGAAATATCAATATTACAGAAGCCATTAAAGGAAAAACACACAATCACATTTTTGAAGAAATTTTGCCCTCTCCAAATAGAACAGGCCATTACGTGTTTTGACTTAATACCCTTTTTTTGCAGAGCAGGTCACAAATTTAGGGAAGGTACAAAGTACTGGCTGTGACCCAACCTACAAAAAAACAATAATCACAAGTCACAAAAGCTACTTCAGTAAAAATATTTAAAACAATCTTGGAAGGTGACCAAGCCGAACAAAACAGGTTGCAAATCGCTACAGCCAGTGCTTCTTACAACTAGGAACCCAAGACATTTTTATCAACACTGTGTTCGTTTTTTTATTAAAAGATCATCAAACTAAATGACACATCAGAACCTAGTGCCATTTGATATTTCTAGTGCAAGCTGAAACAAAAGAAGACTCATTTTGGAAATCTGGTCCCGTGTTTCCGTGAAATAACGCAGAATTGAATATGTGATTATTTCAGTAAATCAGGTGGGCAAAGGAACAAAGTGCTAACTTACAGTTCAGCAACTTCAGAGCCAAAGTTGATGGAGATGGGCGTGCCAGAGGTCTTGGAGTCAATGGGGTCACTCAGCAGGGTTCTCATGACACTGGACACACCATCCGTTCCATCGATTTCACTACGCGGGGAGCCAACCGACAGGCCACTGGCCAAAGAGGAAGCAAGCTTGCTCCTGACAGTGCTGGAGGGGAGGGAGGAAAGAGGTGGGAGCAACGTGAATTGGGATCATTGATTCCATCATCTTGGGTCAGTATAGACCTCTATCGTAGGGCAGCCATCTTGCTTTCTACCATTCAAAGCAATGCAACCAAACTGAGATTGGAAGGAAAAATAGTCTGTTCCCTTTATCAATATGTGAAGTTGTATTACTACTGCTATGGGTCTACAGGGAACAAGAAAAACATGGCAGCACCATAATAAAAGTCTCATAACTTAATAGTTGCTTGGCTGAACCAGGTTACCAGCTAAAATATTACGCATTCAGCATTATTACAACTGGTTCCCGTTTCATTTCTGCTTAACACATTTCAAAATGTGGTTAGTTTCAGTGGACTTGGGCCCTGTTCTAATCAGAAATGCACGCTGGTCCCTCGGGCAACAGCTTTGGGGTGACCAGGTTATTGCACTGCCCAGGCAGATGCATGCTCACTCCAAAATGGGCTCACAAAATCAGAGACACAAGCTTTCTGTCCCGTAAAAGGGGCTTGTCAAATTAGAACAGGGAAACTGGACTACAAAATGGAATTTCAGGTTAGGGATATAAGAGAAACACGGTACCGGGAATACGGGCGATTCACAAAAGTGCGCCTCCAAGAGTTAGCAACGCGTTGGCCAATCACAACGCGCGAAATTTGTCAACCCTTTCCAAACGCGCATTGGGTCAACAAATTTCGCGTTGAAAACTCTTGGAGGCGCACTATTGTGAAACATATATATTTTACAGTAAGAGAAGTCCACCCCAAAACAGAAAAAGCTATCACCTTTTCTCAATAAAATCATCATTCCTCATGTACCAAACTCCTTTTTGTCAGTGCAAACATTGTAAAACATGACTCCATGATGTTGGGGGTTTCCCCTACCTGATCTGAGCCAGAATACTCTCATGGTAAACCGGGTCCAACCCTTCACTGATGACATCTAGCTTTCCCGATACGGTGGTGGCACTGGCTGATGGGATTGGTTCATCCGCCCCAATGAACACATCGATGATGGTTTCCAGCTGGGTCACAAAGTCACCTGCAAGGTACCGACACCGGTTAAATAGTGAGAAATACTCCAAGAAGCAAAGCTGGGGGCGTTGCTTTGTCTGTGGTTGATCTGAATTTTGATGTTATCAATTGAGAAAAGAAAAATTTCAAGTGGAAATAGCTTGCATAGATCTTGGGACAGTGGCCTTTGAAATAGCTTAGCGGAAGATCCTGATTGACATTATCCACTGCATGGATGTTTGACAAGGGGTTCAGACTCCTTTTAGATCTTGGTTATGACCAAACATGGTTTGGGTGGAGGTCAGAGGTCAATTACATACATGTAGGTGGCACCAGTGACCATTTTGTTTTGTTGAATACAAAACAAATCTTTATTTTATCCAAGAATTTAATAGCATTTTTGAGATTTTGGAAGCTGAGAGGGCACAAGTTCTCTCCAAACTGGCTAGAATCGAGAAATGCTTTCACTTACGTTTTACAAAATGTGCAAAACGTGACAAGACCTGAACGAAGTGGCATCACCATGGGCAAGCACGGTGGGGCACAAGCCCCTTCCCTCCCTGGTCTTTCCTCCCATTTGAAATTTTGAAATGAGTAAAACCTATGAACAAGCCGCAGATCATCTGCTTTTGGTCTCCCCTCAAAAAACAAGTGCAACCCTCATGGGGCCCCTCAGACATCTCACCCTAGCTGTGCTACCCTGTCAATGATTGGCCTCTGAAAATCCAGATTTTTGGGGGGACACGTATCCTTCAATCTGGACAAATCCCAAGAAATCCTACCGCTCAGGGGAAAGCCCCAGTGCATGACTGCACTGGTACTGTCGTTTCTATTACCAAGCAAAATAAAAGCAAAAATAAATTGCAAAGAATTGTCTTACTTTGGTCGGCTAGCACCATGGTGGTCGGGTCAACAGACTCGGTCTGGTCCAGCAATAGCTGTGCCCGGCTGGGTGTCATGACAGTCTCGTCGATGGTCAGTTGGATCAATTCCAGCTGGTCTGTGGTGGTGGTGGACGTGGAGTCTTCAGCCGCCGTCCGACGCCTACGTCTGCTGACCAGGCCCCGGTCAGACACCATGTTCAGGTTGGTCAAGGCCAACGAAAAATCACCTGTTTTTCAAGAAAAAGAAAACAGGCTGTGTGGTTTCAAACTAAGTTTGGTTTCATGAAAATCCATGCTTTGTTAAAATCTGGGTGAAAGTATTCAACTTATTCTGTTTTTCAAGGAGCAAAAGGTGGAAAATCTTAAAGACCAAAATCAAACAAAAATCATTGACTGTTTCCGAAAACTTGAGCATGGCAGACAGAAAAAGGCTTGGAAAAAGCTGTGCAACCACTCACCGGCAAATTTGGGAGTGTCGACCTGATCCGAGATATAGGCTGTGACCTCAGCTTCTGTGAAGGTCACCTTCTCAAGGACAGTGACATTGCCTTCGTAGACAGAGCAGATGTCGTTGGAATCACATACCTGTTACCAAGGGGAGAAAAATGACTTAGTCGCTGACACCGGGTACTGAAAATTAAGAAAAAATCCCTTGACATCTACTTCAGTTTTGAGATCCAAAACTTGAAACCTGAGGACAACAGAGGCCTTGGAGATTTTGCCAAGTTCCCATGTTTGCACAGACTTGAGATGCGACACCGAGGTTTGGATATGACTGACGTTAAGTTGACTCTGATTCTTCCAACTGAGCCAAACAGTTCTATCTAGAAGATATAGACTATGTTCAGAGCAACTGATTACCAACTGATTCCAGACAAGATGCCACAGAGAACAGTGCCATAGATATTGCTGATGGTAGTGTCTTACATCTTGTGTTTGGGTTGAGTGATGCCCAAGTTTGATGTTTGCCAGAGGGGTGGGAAGCATCACATACAATTTGTCTCAAAAAAAGAAAAGTTAGAAATAACCAAGCTTATTTTACTAGAACTCAAACTCAGCGACCTACTTTACAACTTGACCTCCAAGCTTACTGGGATTACATCTGTTTCATGCAGAAAGCATCTCCCAAGCAATGAAACTCTGTGTTTGTTTGATATTCACTGATGGACAGGGTTTGGGCCTGTCTTCCTTGACTTTCTCTTCAGTAATTTACCGGTTGCAAAAATGCAGATACACTTTTTTTATTTACTTTGTTTGACTGACAAACTGCTTTCCCTTGGCACCCTTGGAGATAAGGCAGTGAAGGAATATTTGGTCAACCAAGCAATTTAATCGACTTCTAGAGGTTTGATCTAAAATCAACCAATCTGATCTAATTCTGAGGATCTTATAGTTTAAATTTTAAAAAGTTAGCAGAACAATACTCTTAAAAGGTACTTTAATCTGCCATTTAAACGTTTCTGCAACCTAACGTTGCATTAACAATCAAACAACTTTCTGTCCCACGGCTGTCTGCTTGGGACCTGTTCTTGTTTCTACCTTCATGACGTAGTTACGGATGTTGGAGCCAGACAATCGAGGGGCTCCCACCGAGGTGAAGGTGGGCTCCGGTGTGGTGTCCTTGAAGGCCGCTACGCTGCCGTCCTCCTTGACCACGTGAAGCTGGTACTGCAAAGGCTCGGCAGTGGACACACAATTCTCAATGCTGAAGGTCACCTGAAGGTACAAAAAGAGAAACGACATGCCATTCAAGAGTTTTGGCTTCAGAAAAACGAGGTAAATGTACATTGGTCAACTGCATTATGCAGTTCAACCCACAATGCCAGCATATGGTGTTCGGTCATTTCACTAGGGATAGCTTGAGGTAACTTCAAATAGCAAATTCTTCTATGGTAAAGTCAATCTTGGCCTCCAACCAATGTGATAGGTGTGGCATAAGTGGAAACTATTGTTAAATTGCGGTAATTATATCTTGCAAAGATGAAGAATTCATGAAGTTACTGTCCCCTCCATTGTCAGCCATGATGTGGTGGGGGAGATACAAACACAGCAGAGCAGTAAAAATTTGAAAGACGGCAGACCTTGAGCGGGGCGGAATAAAAAGCCTACGGGTGACTTATACTTCAGGTGCATGAAAATTGAAGCCAATTTCATTGCCGTCAAAATTCAGTTCGTGCTAAAATGTGTTAAACTTTGCGCATTTGCAGCAATTTGATCAGTTCAAAGTTTCGCTCGCGTACACTTTCGGGCCAAGCACAAAAACTGGCCTTTGGCGGGGAATCCCACCCTTCCAAAACCCCTCGTGGAGAACAGCATGGAGTAAAACGAAGACTTTACCTCCTCAAACTCAGTGTAGTTGTCCGGCAGGACGAAGTCACAGGATGTCGGGCCGGACAGCACGCTGATGTAGGTCTTGACGGAATTGACCTGTCCATCGATGGTGGTAGCGTTAATTCGGATGGAATAGGACGTACCCCTGCTGACCACACCTGCATACAGCAAATGATACAAGGGAAAACAAAGTGTGCGGGATGAAAAATCAACCGTCCAACCGACCATCAATCAATCAAGTTACAGTTGCAAGCATTTATTTCATTTCGCCTTTTAGAAAACCTGTAATTAACAAAGACTACATTTGTGTTTCAGTATTGGCCGATTTGGGGGGGGTCAAACCTGGATCCCCCCCCCCCCCACTGCCTGCATGACAGTGAATTGAGTTGACTCCAGTGTATTATGTTGTGACTTTGGGCTTAGCACGGCATGCTCGCATTTCATGCATTTCACCCTCCAAGTTTGTGTCATCCTTTCTGAAAAATCCTGGATCCGCCCTGAGTAACAGCGGGCAATTTTCATTTGTGACTTGCAGACTTGGCAGCGTCACTACCGGGCCGTTCCTAGTAGGTCTGAATTAGTTGCGTTCAAGACTTGGACTTACCGTCTTTGACCACCAGAAGAGCTGCTGACACTCCATTTCCCATCGGGAAGACAGTGGCGGGCACCAGCAAGTTGGAAGTCTCGTCAAAATCAAGGAAACCATATCCTGAAAACAAGAACCAGCCGAACCAGATTGAACAAACAAGTGGTCACATGGTGAAGTTCAGAGACTGCACCCCTATAATTTCATCTCGAACAGCGGCCAGATCTGGGGCTAGAAAGCACGGGTGAAGCTTGTCAGCAAATTTCCGCAACAACTGGATGAAACTCAAGTGAGCGCTCATCGCACGAAATTGCATTTTGACCACAGCTGCTGAGACACTGGAGATCCGTGTTATTGAGGGATGTGAGTGTGCACCAAGCAAGTTGGAAGGAAATTTGATTTGTATGTTAACATATGTGAACGTGACCTACTGCATTGAATTTCTTTTTCAAATTGAAATTCTGGAAACGCAGGACGTCTCTCATTTCTCTGAAAGCCACACACAGTTATCAAGACATGTTGGTATAAGCACTGTACACCAAAGATTAGTACAACTGTTTCTTCTGAGATCAGTCAAATCAGGTAATAAATGTCTACTTGGGGGTGGGGGAAATCTCACCATAGTTGCACATTTACCTGAATCAGTGTCTGTAGTTTCCCACGTAACGTTTGCCAGATCTGTGGAGTGTCTGATGATGGCACTCAAGAAGAACGGCCGGTTATCCTTCACTTCGCCGTTGTCCGACCTGGGCGGGATCTCAATCTGAAAGGCAGAGAACAATAGGGTATCCCCAGGGGAATGATGGGGATTTCAATGTGACAGAAAGGGAGGGGGAAACCTTTGAATAACTGGTCCAGTAGTCAGCCTGGACTGCTGCATAGTACGTTCTATGAAAGTCCCTACTCATTTGGTCAGATCTGGTATTACCACCAACAGGCTATCACAAGTCTTTCATGCGGACTGCAGCAGTATTGAAATTCTTGTGAAATGAATGATAAACACTGACTAGATATCAGCAAAACTTTTATCACAAACGTGAACTGACAAAGTAACACTTTCAGTTACAGAAAACAACAACATCGACAGGTTTGACTAAATCCCTTAGCATGACTGCAAAAGTATGTCAAAAATGACATACACTACAAAACTCTCTTTGAACTTATTCACTACAATGGACCGCAGCCATCCATTTGCTTACTAATTTCCATGATTTTGTAAACTTTAGCAGTTTAAAACACTGACTCAAACATCACGACTATTGCCCAAGGTCCCAGAGTAATATTCTGTTCTTTGAAGAAGAACCCAACAACTCATGGTAACTGGTTCACTACACTGATTATATGATGGCTACCAACTCCTACCATCTTTGGCAGCATACCTTGGGCGGGTTACCGTTGACAGCAGATATGTAGACAGACGCCGTAGCTGACCGTGCCTCTTTGGATGCCACCAGGGTGAAGGTGTAGGACTTGTCAGCTTGCAGGCTCAGGGCATCAAACCTGAGATAAGCGCCATCGATGTTGGAACCGTTGTTGATGAGGGTACCGATGCTCGAGGGATCGTAGGACCAGCAGGCACTGTTGTCGTCAGTCTGTAAGGTGCAAGTCAAAAATCTTTTGGAAATATACGAAGCTATTAAGGCCTAACTGGAGGCGAATCGACCTTTACTGTCAGCAGTTAGTCATCAAAAATTGATTTGGAAGGCAACATCCAACCTATTATCAGGATCATCTACACTTACTGCTGTTGAATCATAAAAGGAGAAATTTCAAATTGAATAAAGCAACTCCAAGTTGGATTCAAACCCTACTATCATATCAACCTGTACCAGCATTCAAGCACGTAAGCCATGAAGGCTTGATGGTAGTCTTCAAGGAAAATAGAACCGGACAGTTCAGCTGATAGAGCACTGTTACTGTGTTTAAGTGGTTACAGGTTCGAATCCTAAAACAGTGCTACTTTTCATTCAACCGGTTACTTATTAAAATTACACTCTGCGATGACATCGTGACTTTGAAGGTATGGGCTTTGATCTTTGTATTTGCAGAGGGAATTCTGCAGGAAGTGAAGATGGTGACTGTTATATGTCAAAACTACTAAAGGACACATCACTTGTGCTCACTTGTCAGCTTGTGTATGTGGTGTGGAACGCTGATAACCCAATTTGCAACAGAATGTACACAAATCCACAAGCATCTGAGCACAACAGAACTGTAACTCCGATCCTTCAAAACCCAATGGGAAGTTTGAGGGGTTAAGGATGATACGAACCACATCCTACTACTTTGCACAGGGTTTGATAACCGTTGAAAGTTAAATACCAGAAAAAAATAAGGATACTCCCCAGAGAAATTGCCGTGGAATCATAGCTAATGGTAAAATGTTGCCTAGTGACCGCTGAAAACAAAATGCAGTCAGAAGCCAGCTCCTAAAATCTGACCTGCACGCACAGCCACTCGTACTCCCAATCTCGTGCCTCCGCGTCGGGGTCGTAGGACAGTGACCCATCCAGCACCACCTCTCCGCTGTCCCTGCCAATGGTCAGCTCCGAGGGGCCGCGGATGACGGCCACCAAGGGAGAGGAGACTGTGGTGGCTCCAATGGAGGCTTCCACGTAGGCCGATGGGTTGCTGGACTTGTAGACGCGCACAGTGAAGGTCAGATCCTCACCAGCTATTAGGAAAAAAGAACCGAAAAAATGTATCTGCGTCAACTCTTTCACTCCTCGGGGCGTGGCCAAGGATCTTGAGCCCAGAACATATTTTTCCATATTTTCTTTCAGCTAGCAGGTTTAGGGAAGCAAGCCCACACTGGAGACTTACTTGACAAATTCATTTTGTGTGTTGTATTGTTCAGTATTTCGGGACGGTTACATCACATTGGCGTATCTGGAAATGTAACAATAAAATTCTCCCAGCACTGACTGTTTGGAATAACCTCTAAAAATTTTCCCATGCAGATAGCAGGCTAGCTTTAGAAAAATCAACTTGCATGAGATCTTGCAATCTTTTCTTTATGTACTTGAACGTCTTCATAATGATGGCCTTTCAAAGAGGATGCCCAGTTACATTTTGTGACATTTGGAACCTTGCCAGATGGGGTAGAACTGGACCAAACATATTGTTATAACATTTTGCTAAACTCTTCTAGAATAGATTAGAGCATTTTAAATAAACTGGTTGTGGAAATAACAAGGACACCACTCCATTTCTATCTAATTTGGTGGAAAAAAAAATTTCTGGCAGCAGTTTTCAAAAAAAAATAAAAAACAGAAGGCACAAAACACCATGCAAATTAAGTTGTCAACATAAAAAACAAATTTAATGCGAAGTCTTGGTAATTTCCCCTCAAAAGGGAATACACAGCCCCATGCGTCACACTTTCTGATGTTTGGTGCCCACTGACAGGTACTGTGGAATGGCCCTGGAGGTGAATTGATATTTCACACTTTTTATGACTCTCTTTAAAAATTAATCCTTGAAGCTTCCGTCAATTGCAACTTGAAATGCTACTGCAAAAACGAGACAAGATCCAGGTCAAGGAGTACCTGGCAAGGAGTAGGCTGGCACATTGAGAGACCTGGTGTACTGGGTCTTGAGGTTTAGGGCAACGTCGGTATTATTGACAGACCACTCAAACAGGGTCTCGCCTGGTGGCACACACTCTGAGTAGAACTTGACTTGCGCAGTCAGCTCAAAGCTGTAAAGGAGATAGACGGGAGGGAATACAGATTTCAGGCCAATTTTGAATATGTTGGATGGGAATTTTTCAAACCATGTTGCACAAAAGCGATTGCAGGTTGTACACGTGTGATGAAGGTTTGCAAAATCTCTTTTTTGTAAGTGAGAGAAGAGAACCTTTCCGTCAATGTTACAGCTACCGTGCCAACCTTCCTGATCCAAACAAATTTCATTGTACATTGATTAACTTGGTGACCAAAATTGAAAGCTGTTACTGCGTTGGCGCCACGCGTGTGGGCAGGCGGCATAAGCACCAAACGTACCTCCAAATAGGATGTTCAGACTTGCCAAGTGTGTGCCTCAAGTTCTAAGGACATGTGCGTGGGTGTAGCGCCACGCAAACAATGGGTCTCCTTGGATGAGTCGAGAACCATAACTATACTGCCTGAAACTTTGGCCTGTGATTTTTCCCCCAACTGAGTCAGTGTACAATTTAAGCAAGAGAATGTTGCTTGCCGTGAAAAGCCCAACAAATAATACTTTCATCTGCTACATTACTTTAAAATTCTACTTAGCAAATTCAAATATACAAGACGGCTTATTTAAGAACAACAAGAAAGACAAATACCTTTCATTTCAGCAAACCATATCAAAGGTAAAGATTTAATAAGTACGACAAACAGAAAGTCAATAACAATCTGGAAAACAAAGTCAAGAAAAAACACAAACAAACACAGATCAGGTAAACAGATAGACGAAAATTCAGGTATATGCCCTATAAAAGAAGTCTGTAAACTACACGTTTGCGCTAATTGCGTGCAGTATGAATATTTTTGTCTGTCATTTTACTCTTACCTGTTGGACACACGGACTGAGGTGAGGTCCACCCCACTGGACAGGATCTTGACCTCTGGGGCAGCGATGCCCGTGCGGTGGACAGTCAGTGAGGCCACGTCCCAGCCGCCCAGGAAGTTGGTGACGTTGACAGTGAAGACGTAATCGGTGTCAGCGTCCATCAGGTCACCGTCCAGTGCAAGTGAAGGAGATGGACTGTTGGCTGTGGGAGGCAGGGGAGTTAGGAGAATGAGGGGATGTCAGTAGTTGGCTGGATTGTGAGATGTCACCATAACATAACATTCTAATGATAGAACATGAGTATTTTAAAAATTGATGTTTTGCTTTTTGGCACAGAAAATCACATATGTACATGTAGGTACATTTCATACTTGGATATTTTTTCAACAAAAGTTAGAATGTCATCAAGTCAATTTCAAGTCAAGTCCCAAGTAATATTCTTTTAAATCTAGAGACAAGTCCTTTGTTTGGAAGTCAAGTTTCAAGCTGAATAAATTGTTACTTGAGTCTGACTCTATCCAGTTCGATTCGGTAATTACAGTCAATAACTCTCACCACTGGTTTCCTGTACATTGGAGGATTTGGGAAGAATGCAAAGGGTGCCTGGCAAGGACAGCCTAGGAGTTGAGGGTAAGTTCCACAAGAGTTGAATTTGACGGATGACAAAACCCCAGCCTACCGCAAAGAACTGGAGAGATAGCTGGCCAATTACTCACTGTTGATGTCATTCAGAGCGTTGTCTAAGGACGTCGTGCTCCCGGTACTCTCCACCTCCCAGTAGTAAGACATGGCACGCCCACCGCTACCCGTAGACCGCCGGGCATCAATCCGGATGTTCCCACAGCTTGGCAGCTTGGGGGGACCAGTCACTACCGCCTCGGGCTGGACAGGATTATTTGGAGGCTGGGCGTAGTAGGACTTGGACTCCACGGCATAGGAAAAGTCTTGGCGGAAGGCCTTCAGGGCTTCAGGCTTGACAATCAACGGGGAGCCTGGATTTGTGGAAACACACCAACAGTATAAGTTTGGCTCAAACTTGGGGATATAATGCAGACATGAATATAATTGGGCCCTTGTGAAATGCAAACCACTTTTATGAGTATGCTTGGTAACACTTTGGAAAAGTGAACATAATATGTACAGATTGTCTCATATCCGTGGAGCAAGGGAAATCATATACACAGGTGCAACAAATGACTTCTATTTAGCCATGTGCCAACTGGACTTTCTTTTCAGCATGGAAACTTGTCGCATATCCCTGTTAACATATTTTGTGTAGAATTTCCATACATCACCACTTGTATGGTGGAACAAGGCCAGTATATTTCTGGGTATGTTGGAAATTGGGGACTGGTTTCTTGTACGGACAAGGTACCTAGGTATCCTTAATATTAATGAAAATTTTTTCCCAAATCAAACAATACCGATTGATGTTGCCACGACAACACCATGCCAACTCATTCCATTCGGAAGTTCCTGCTCGCTGGCAAAACTAGTTTTCAGTGGCACAAATCTCTGTCATTTTGCTCAAAATTTCAATTAAATCTGCAATAATATTAAGTAAGTGACTTACTGAAAAGAAATACCACAAAAGGAATGCTTTAGACAAACAGTAACAGCACTCCAACTTATTCAACTCCTCCAATTTTCTACATCCGGTCTGCTAAACAGCAAAGACTATATGCCACAAGCACATTTCTATAGTCAAGTGCACATGCACTTTCAAGACAGTTTAACTCGAACAATTGACAGAAAACAAAGTTTCACATGGGAAAAAAATGCAAAAGAGGTCCAACATTTGACGTTTGGTGGCACCTAGGTTTGACAAAGTTCTCACCAATTTCCACCAGGTTGCTGCCTCTGCCAATCAGGATCAGCATGGCAGTCGGATAGAGCCACAGGCAGAGGGCGCCCTGCCCCAGCGACTGGGTGGACGTGAAGATCTGCTTGCACGAGCGCAGATTCTCGTAGTCCACCGGCATGTCAAAGGTCACTAGCAGGCTCGCCCCTATTAGAGTGTCAGTCAGAAATAGAAAGAGTCAGGAAGGAGGGAGGGTTAATAAGAAACAGATTCCCCAAAACATAATCATCTACATATGCTACATGATGGGATAAATGTTCTCAAGGCACTATGAAACAAACCAATCGGAACCTTATTTCATGGAGCTGGTGGGCAAACAATACTGGTAAGCTAATTGATGTGCTAAGGCAAAATCAGCAGAGAGACAGTCATGAGATACATACAGGGTATTACATTTTGACTGGTACCCCGCTTTTGCGAAGAAAATACTTATCATGCTTGGCAGATTTCTCTGCTTTGTAGCAGCTTCATGAGACTGACCCCAGTTGCTATCTTACAAATATCGGTCAGGAGTTGGGAAATCATTATGCGGGGGCTGAGGAAAGATGTAAGTCACCGGCTTAGATTATTCAAGGGACTTGATATTCCTTGAGTGTTAAATTACGGTCAGTTTCCTACAAAGCGGGTGTTTGAGAATTCAGCAAGGTTCCTAGTCAAACTGCCTGAGGTGTTCTTAAAATCCAAGATTTGAATGAAACTCAGAAGAGTTTCCTGTGGTAACTTTCTCCCCCTCCTTAGATGTAAGAAAACTGTCTGACATATCTTTTTTGTTTGGGAAATCTCATTAAATATGGGACTTTTTAAACACATTGTACATTTTCTATACTTTTCACCAAAAAATGATGGCAACATTGCTGTGAGGCTTCTACCATGAACGACATCACACTCTTGCCCTAGTTAAAGAGGAGACAAAGGAGCATTCAAAAGAACGACATTGAAAAATTAAACTACATGGACCCTTTATTGACTCACCCGTGTCTGAAAATTGGATCCTCTCAAGTGTTGGTGCCTGGAAGTATGCGTAGCCATTGACGCTGTATTCACCAAGAGCCGTTGCCCCACCATTAACCGATGGAACAACCACTCCGTAGCCCGAATTGTAAGGCATTCCGAGAAGGAAAGACATAGTTTCATCTGACTCAAAGGTGCCAAACGACCTCAAGAAACCTAAACAGGTAAAACAGAAACAAAGATATCTGGATCAATTTTACACATAATTTGGGTGATAATCTAGAGGCAGAAAATCAGACGAACCTTTTATTTTATTCATGAATACCAAAGACAGTTAAGCCACTCCTATTGGTCAAGAGCCTGTCACGTGGCTACTCTCAAATGATTTATAAAGTATTTACTGGCCGTGTGAATCACCTCAAGCCGTATGCGCCATGCATGTGCTAATATCCATATAAGGAGATTGTTTATAACTGCTCATAAGGGGAACATACCATAACATGCCTTGGGGGTGTTTGGAAAAAAGAAATATAACTCTTGAACAAAATCACTGTAAACTTATAACTTTTAAAACTTGTTTTAATTTTGTGACTCAAAAGGTATTCGTAAATGTAAACAAATATTTATTGGCTAGTCTTACTAAAAAAAGACCAAACAGTCTAAAAGACCAGCTCAGGAAAGTGGACTCTGACACGTCCCTCTTCTTTGGCTTGGGCATTGTCAGTGTCCATTCGCCTGGTCCCGTCTAACACTTACAACCAGCCAAACACATGAGTAGGGTTTGAAAAAAAAAGAATTTGTCAAACTCTAAAAATACCCAAAGGCTGGTATGCATACCATTATCCAAAAGCACTGTGAGCGTCGGTATAACGTTCCACTCTTCTGAATAGGCCCTCAAGGAGGCCAAGCCTCCAGTTGCCACAGTAACGGTGATTTCCACAGTCTCAAGGGACCGATTAACAGTAAAAGTTGTTGGCGATATTTCCACAACTTCAACATCTGCAACAGGAAACAACAGCATTGATTCTTTCATCCACATTTAAAAGCGTGGTGCACCACTCATGAATTGGATTACCCATATGAGCAGCCTGTACAGTAAGACAATTGTAATTGGTTAATTGACACTGAATCTGATTAACCAACCTTTCACACCAAGGCTGTTTAATAAACTAGTACCCTCAAAGGGAATTCCTGGGTTTATTTCTCACATTCATTTCCTCTGCAAATTGTAACAGAATAGTTTGTTTCATTTGGCCAAGGCAACTTAGGTGAAGAGCTATTTCCTCAATTCTTGAATATTATTTGGAAGAAGGGAACACGTCATTTTGAAGATTTTCTTTAAAAATACAACAGCGTTGTTTGAAAACTTTATCTGCTGCCATCCCTCTATCCAACTGATGTAACACCTGCAAAAATCATTCAATTTGGAAGTGTTCAACCCACGTATTTGTCATATGGATCAAAGATTGGCACTGTTTACCTTGGAAGACTCGGAGGGTTGAAGTGATTTCTGAAGGCAGATCACTGTTACGACGAACTCCCACAGCGTAGTCACCTGAAGGCATGGCAAGAGGTCAAAGGTTAAACTAGCAAATTGGTAACCAAAGTATTCATTTGTGCTGCCATCTAGACAGGCAGAGATAGTTAACAAGTACTTGAAGTTACAGATTTGTTTTTTAAAATGTATTTTATTAATAGGACTCAAGATTTAGCACTTGAAAATCCATTCAATTGAATTTCCAGACCTATTGTTATCCCTAGACGGAAGACTTGAGTTTGAAAGGGCAAATTGCACTGCCATGACTGAATCTGATGTATTAAAAATAGAATTTACAATTTTGTATGAGACCTATGATTAGTACTAGTAAGAGTCCTAGTCCAAGTATTACTAGGACTCTTACAATTGCCTCTTTTAATTAACATTTGGACATCAATTGTATTGTTCATCAGATTTTGGTTTCAATTTGTTCGTCTTCACATCGTTTACTACAGCGATTAACTCCCAGTCGTTTGACCAATGCCAAACACAGTCAGGATCTGTTTGGTCTGGGAACCAGACAGCGTTATAGACTGTGATCCGAATTGCTGTTTTATCAGCGACTGTGTATCACTCATAATAAAGCCTTGTGTGTATGCGAGAATGCAATGAATTTGTCGAAAACAGCCGCTGTCAGGTATTTTCATGGGTGGTGCATCATCGCTGCGCAGAATGGGGATTGGATGAGCAAATGCACGCCACACTCTGGCAACGAGTTCACACTCAATCCTATGCATCGTACATATTTCGGTTTGCATTCATCAACATTCTTTGGCAATTTCATGCTCTGGAGACCTACGTAATAACGGTGTCTGGTTCCCAGACCAAACAGATCCCGACCGTATTTGGCATCGGTCAAATGATAGGAAGTTAATCGCTAAGAAACGAATGGGCGATGTGAAGACATCCAAAACGAAACCAAAATTTCATGCACTTCTACAGTGAAAACTACACACTGGAAATCGCCCATATTAATACATCAATGGTCATCAATGGTATTCATAAAAGGCGTTTTTACGGAGTATCTACTTTTTGGATTGACCGTTGTGGGCCCAAGGTAGTCCAGTAGACTGCCCCCCCCCCAAGTCTTGGGCTAGAGTTGTCCAAGGTACGAGTTGACCTGTTTCCAAAAAATGAGTGAATCACTCACTCATTTAAAAGGAAAAATGTACAACCACAAGTGTCCTAAAATCTAAAGGCAGGTTATAACAAAATTGTTGTTTCTACTGTCTTGGAATGATGCCCTACAGATGAGAGGGTGAACGTCCCTTTTGACAAACTAGTTTTGCAGTGTCCTTACCGGGTGTCAAGGCAGGAACATCACACAACAAAATTGTAGTGTCGATGCGAGTGGCAGCGCCCTCTGTTGTCTGTCCGTTCAGCGTAAAGAGGCAAGTCAACAAGGCTCCAGCGGAGAAACCTGCCCCGGCCACGCGGACCTTGAAAAAAGAAAACAGTAAATTTTCCTCAAATTCGCAATTGCTAATCTAAGAGAGATGTCACCTTTTATCAGAGTGTGCTTGAGTTATTTATTTCATTTTTCATTGAAAATTATTCTTTAAAAATTCAAACCAAATCCACATTAAAAACTAATTTCGATCTCCCTTTTTTTGGTTAAGTTATCGCGTGCTATCGGGCTTTGGGTTAATCCAGTAATTGACTTGAGATAAAAGTGTTTAATGTTTGCTGTACTGTTAAAAAGATAGGTTTTTCAATTTTCATTGACTTCTTAAATGAAATGACACGAGTGGTTTAATGTCGTGCTGCGGGTGTTTACGTATACTTGGGCTTGATTATCTTGACACTTGATTTCAAGAGCGCTTTTGGAAGATTAATTCCATTCTCCTGAAAAATTCCGCTCAGAAAAATTGAAGTTGAAGTTGGCTGTCAAGGAAACTAAGCCATAGTTTCAAATAGAGATTTCCTGCCCAAACGAAGGCACGTAGGAAGATGATTCAACCGGGGGGGGTCAGAAAATGAAATCTCTTTTGGGGAGTCCAATAAGTTAAATATTATAAGATCTGATGTTATAATTAAATTTTCAAAAAATGACACATCTTAAACTGCACATTATGAAGGTAATGTTTTGTAAACTCGTAACAGGAAAAGTGTCTCACAGAAGTATTAAACGTAACAAAAATCAAGAACCCAAATTTTGCCGAAGGAAATGGTGGTCACCTTAAAATAAGTATTGGAAAGTCTAAACACTCTTTAGTGGAGTTTTCATTTTAAGAAAAGAAAAAAATTCTTCAATTTTGTTTGCACACACCAGCTGTGATGTTAAAGCTTTGCGTCAGATGCCATCACAGACTTGATGACATGCACAAGCTTTAAGTTTAAAATAGTACCGGAATGTGTTTCATAAAACTTTATTTACTTGAGGAAACCCCCAAAAATGAGTGGTCAGAGTGAACACAATCTTACTTTGCCTCAGTTATTAAAACATTCAACGAAAGAAGCTTGTGGATATATTTCAATTTTTGGCCAAGATGTGGTGGTTCTTTCCCATTCAGAGACGTTCTCTCATATAGATTGATTTTGGGAATAAACTTTGGGTGATCTCCAAAAAAAACCCACATGTTTATTCCAGGGTGTGTCATTGTGGGATTTATTTCTACGTGGAGACTGTAGTGGAGCCGCAGGAGGGTAGAAATAACAGGAAGAAATTAAAATAATGTAGACAAGGGGACCAGCTGCACCCGAACCTGTTGTCTAGAGCTAGGGCTATGGCTTTAATAGCTCCATTGGAAGTACGCGGAGACACCGAGAAAATAGACCTAGCCGTGAGTTCTAGAAGCCTGTTTCGGGCATCGACACAGCCTGCAATGCGGCTCGCTTGCGTACTGCGCGAAATGGGACTCGTCGATGCATTGGGCGCGGGAGGGACAGGATTGAAAGTGAATATTAAAATTTCCATTTTCCAATGTGATCTAAGTAAAATTATCCCACACTGTGACAAATACTATCCACTCTATAACTTCCCCTCTGAGAATGTAAATTACAGAACTTTTCAGGGGCCGCGGCCCCCACTATATTTTCGGGGGGGGGGGCACTGGAACTCCCCCCCCCCGTTCCTTCGCCCGTGGGGCCTTCTGTCCGAAATGTAGACAGAAACTGCCGAGTGTTTTTCCCTGGAGATTTTACCATGGCATATAGTTCCCTGCTATGATCGGAAATCGATTTCAGCTCTCTCACAGGTTCATTAGGGGTCTTTTGATAAAACAGCGAAACGAATCGATTCGCTGATATGTTGCCTGGCTATTTGACCCACGAAGAGCCACCACAGCCGTCAACGAATTTCGCTCGGCAACAAACTTTCTCAAGAACGAAGGGGGCAGTGTGGGGCATTCTGGAATCTCTCTATCGTGAAAGTCAACGACCTCGATTGATCCGTTCTTTTGACAACAGTGACTTCATTCCTTTGTCAATCAAGACACGTTAATAACCCAAATAAACTTGAAGTGTAAAAAGTGGAAACGACATCTACTTAAACTGCGCTGTCGGGCAACACTGAAATGTTTTAAGATAATAACTCAGCTGGAGAATAATGAGTTCAAATATCGTCTCTGTTTTCTAAACGCATTACTCAATGCCTGCATAAATGCGCTGACCAATGCCAAGAACGACCACCATTTAATGAGCAGGCACACACGTACACAAACAATTCTTTTTTGCCCGTCTATAATCTTCAGGGACTTTGGAGGGTCAAGAAATCAGCACTGTGACAAGAATCCCAAATAAAACTTTATCGGCTTGTTCCTGATCAGTGTTTCATGAAAATATTCCTGAGGTTGGTCTACAAACACTTTGCATCTCCACCCAAATTATTTTCAGTGTTCTTCACACAAATATCTCAAAAATCACTCTGATCATTAATATCGTTAAGAAAACTCTTCCGGCTATACTCTGGCGCAACCGGACCAACTGTTTATAAAAAAAAGATACGTTTATTAATTAAGTTATTCGCTAGTCTCCCATCGCCCGCACTGGGCACCGGGAAGGGCAAAATTCGATTCAAAACGAAGTCTGCGAAAGAAATACGTCAGTACTACGGACCAGCAAAGCACTGTGGGTTACTTCCTGTCCTAATCAATGTAAGTATTTGCACGTGTCCCGCGCACGTCGAAGTAATGACCCTAATTATTGTGGTCTCCCCATTGAGTGCTGACAGACATCATGGTTTGTCCTTCCCAGAGCCATGTTAGGGCAGTGGATGACTAGCAAAGTTTAGATAGTTACCCTTGTTTGGACGTTGGGAACGATGTTGGGAATCACCAGCCCGACGGCGACACAGTCGGTACCGTCACCTCCGCAAACTCCACACGCGTCGTATTCAACGCCACTGAAACATCAAAATTTAGACATTCTTTTAAAAAAATATCGCAAAATTGTTCGCGAATCCATATGCTATGAGAGAATTCATGGGTGTGTAACCATTTGAGGGAATTATCAGCGTTGCTTTGGGACCCCTATATCTGCTTCTTGTTTTTAACACCACAATTGTGTGCCTTTGTGTAGGCACATCACTCTGTAGCTATCAAGTAATGGGAAAATACCGGTACAGCACCAGTACTGTCCACCAAAGAGTTGTACCTGATACCCCCTAACTGATCAAATCGAAAATCATTCCTAATTGTAATTAATATCCAAATTTATACTGGACATGGCATGTTCATGAACGATTTAAGGTAAGTAATTTGAAAGGATGTTTAAGGATTGGCAATTTGATTGATTGACAACTTCTCTCCTCCAGTTCCAAAGTAAATGAACTTTTATCAAGCTCCTCTCAACATTTTTCGTTCATAAATCTTGAGTTAACGTAACCGCTGCAACGCTCCAATGACATTCTATTTCGGCAGAATGAACACCTTTTAAGATATCATGACGCTGGAGTTGTTCACAAAATAATGTTTAACAGCATTTATTTTCAAGGTACATGTAATGTTACAAGTCTAAAACTTAAAGATTTTCAGTGATGAGGTTTTTCAACACTGCATGAAGAAAGTCGAGGGAAATGTCAAATGACTCCGCTATAAGCGTGCTCTTCACTGTTGCTATCATGTAGGCCTACCTTGCAGGAACGCCGTCGCATCCAGCACACGACATAACATCAGCAACGGAACTGCTCTCACACTGTCCGCAAACGTTCACCCCTTCAGTCTCCAGCACTCCCGTACTGCCACCCCAGCACACACCGCAGTCGTTCTCCTCAGCCCGCGGTGCGCCGGGACGGATGCAGCCGCCGGTACAGTCCTTGTACTTGCTGCCACCGTCGTACACCACGCCCTGTTTGGCCGGTGGCTCGCAGTAATTGCAGGTGTCTGCCACCCAGCCACCGTCGCAAACCTCCCGGCAGTCCAACCGGCCGGCATTGGTGTCGAGGCTTAACCCGGTCGTTCCACCTTTGCGGAGAAAAAAAAGGGTTGGATTTACGGTGACCAAAAAGGTCAAATTAAATAAAGTCAGCAAATGGAAGGAATATCTCACGATCAGGCTAAATTTACTGTACCGTGCCATGACGACAAAGAATCTGATTATTTTTTCAAATGTTAAACAAGAAATATAGAACGAAACAAACAAAAAAACCACCAAAACAAATTTGACAGAAATTGCTTTTGTGATAGTTTATTAATTACTAATTGCTTATTCTCATGGATATGTTGACGTTCTAAGAGGTTTCACTTTCGCTTTGCAGTCAGGAACATCCGATCCCTTTTATTTATCCTGCGGACTGAAAAAGGAGCTTCAGCTTACCGACACACTGACCGCAGCGATCAACCTCGGCCGAGCCGTCACACTCCCCGTGACAGTCCCAAGTCTTGCGGTAGCCAGGCGCCTTGCGGCAAAGGCCGCATTTATCCATACCGAAGGTGACGGCTCGGCCCGTCCGACCGCCGACGCACTCGGTGCAGTTGTTGATGAAGGCGCCCCCGTTGCAGGCGCCGGCGCAGTCATAGGTGGCTCCACCGTTGCACACTCCGGCGCAGTCCTCTCTCGAATTGCCATTACAGATACCAGCACAATCAACGATGCCACGGCATCTCTCTGAAAGCAGAGGATGCAGCATGAAAGGAAATGTAAGTATTAAATAAACTGTCATAATAAATATATGTGAATCAACTAATAATTTATCCTATCCCATTTCTTTTCAAAATTACAAAGTCTTAATCTCAATTTTGTTTTTAAGAATTGTGACCTTATTTATCGTTGAATTATGGTAAAAGACAATTTCCATTTGAGTACTTGTTAGTAACTTTCTGATTAGTACTGTTGATCTAATTGCTAAATCTGTCTGAACAGAAAGTACTTATTAAACTGACAATATGCCCATTAGAATAGAAGAATAATCCAATCTAAAATACCTGCTTGCTGGCCGGTGAACGACTGTACAATCTTGGTGCAAACTGCCTTTGGCGTTCTCAGTCCGGTTGCCCAGTAGATTGGATCGGCCCAGGGCACCAGCGAGCTACTCTCAGAACTGCTGGAGATATCTAACTCCGGCAGGAGAAGATTCAACATGGTCTCAGCCGCCACCGTGCAACGGTCCACGTTGTTGACCAGGCCGAACACCCCATCGATGACCCGGCTGTAGAACGCCGATGTCTCCCCGTCTTCATCGGCCTCCATTAAATCATCGCAGATGCTGTCGATACTGCCCATACCCGTGGCCACTCCCAGGATGGAGTCCAGGAGATCATATTCTATGTCTGGTTTGGGTGCTTCCCGTAGCCGCTCGTCGTAATCAGATCTGGACTCATCGTAGAACGGACCTGTCCCTTGCCAGAATGCCTTGATCTGCTCCTTATTGTGACAGAACGGCAGCGCGCTCTCCGTACCGATGTAGGGAAGGATCCCTTCCATCATGGTGACGAATAAATCGACAAAGCCGAAGTCAGCGTTCAGGAGAGATTCGACGCCCGGACAGACGCCTTCCTGATCAAAGCTTTCCCAACCAAGGGTGTCTTTCATGACTTCGAGCAAAGCTTCGCCGTCGAGTTCGGCCATGCCTGCTGTTGGGTAATGTTCGCCGTAAAAGTAAGGGGTGAGGACAGCTTCGCACTTTCGCTGGACAATTTTGATGTCTGAATCGGAGAGAGCGCCGCACATCTCGTTGATTTCACCCTTCGAAAGATCGGTGAGCTCTGCCAAAAGGGGAACCATGTTGTTACAAACGATGGCCATCCCTTCGATCACGGTGCCGCTATTCCATATGACTCCCAGGGAGGCCAGAACGATCTTGACAGGGACTTCTTCCAGCAGAAATCCCGGTGGCAGCTCTGATGAGGAGCCGGCAGGTTCGATGTTCAAAGCCATGTCCACCAAGCTGGACCACTGGACCGACGGGCCGTCGCCCTCGGCAGCATCAACCAATGCGACACAGAACGTGTCGGCATCGGTGAAACCAGTCCAATCTGAGATTGAAAACTCCGCATCCAGGTCAGTCAGAACTGTGACGAATTCTCCGCAGGTTTCTTCATCGGTGGCAACCAACTCCAGATTCGCTTTCATGGTGTCGAGTAATCCCCGTACCTGGTCGGGTTGGATTTCCCAAAGATTCTCGGTGATATCGTATAGGCTTGTGCAAAAAGCCAGCGGTGAACTGAACCCGCCCATATACGTATACATAGCCAGCACGTAGTCTTTGATGCTCCGAGGTTCCGGGTGATCATCCCCAAAATTTTCCACAAAGTCTGAGGAGCGGTTTTCTTTGATACGTCGGCAGGGCTCGTCGATTAACGAATTGAAAGATCGGAGTACAACTCTTTCAAGTGCTCTGTATACATCATCCTGGACCTGACTCGGAGTTTTCACAATTTCTTCCCCAAAGAACCGGCAAATGGGGAAAGGACTCCAGTATAGATCAAACTCTTCCAAGATGGGCCAACGGATCTCCTCCATGAACCAAAAGCGAGTTTCGTTCTCATTACGGTCCCACTCTTCCAGATACCAGTCGAGATAAAACACCTCCCAATACGCATCCCAGTCAAACAGTTCTGCGAGCCCGTAATAACCCCAGTAACTGCACACTTCCCTCACCCGATCGAAGCTCTGATGAGACGCCTCCTTGCACATTTCATTCAAGTCCGGGCCGCGTATAGCCGGTGACAGAGAATCGCACAGCAGCTTGAATGCTTCTCGACTGTTCCGTGCATTGTACATACGGCCGTAAAGTTGTATCAGCAGATCTGGCCGGAGGTACTCGATTACAGCATAAGGTCCCATTTCGGACGGGTCGAAGACTGAATACCATCGTAGCAGTAACTCATCGGTGGTGTTGGCTCCGAGAGTCAAGCTAAACCCTTCCAGTTCTTCTAAACTTTCGTCAGAGGACCTGGATGGAGGCTCTGCCGAATAATTGTACATTTCCCTAAGCCCAAAAATGTAGTCAATAATATCCTGTTCGACAATGAAGACATTATCCGTCACGTTGGCGCCAAAGGCACTCACCAGTACGCTGCACATCTCCGCCGTCATATTCAAATCCGATGCTTCCCCTTCGAAAAGTTCCTCAAAAATGATTTCCCCGACCCGAAGACATTCATCTTCATTGTAGGCAATCTCAATCAAGTTATTTGTTATGTTGTTAACCAGGTCTTCGGGAACATAAGTCTGGTTGAAGTCATGGACGACCACGTGCTGACAGAGCTCGCCCATGCTGTCATAGCCACCGATCAAGGCGAATAGGTAGCCGAGAGGATCGAGATGGTGCGAACTCCAATTTTCGTTCCAACTACTGTTGAAATCCGAGCCCCAATTTCCATTCCAGCTACTGCCGGACTCCGAACTCATACCTCCGCTGGATCCACTGCTAGAACCCAAACTCATGCTTCCACTGGAGCCGCTTTTGGAATCCGAACTCATGCTTCCACTGGCGCCGCTGCTAGAACCCAAACTCATGCTT